AGTCATACATGAAGAGGGTCATCTAGACATGCTATGACCACTGGAGCGGCTGTAAATGGCTTGAACGGCTATGAAACACAGTCATTTGAAGCTAAAGGAGGAAAAACCCAACCAGTTCCCTGTCATGGCTGTTCAGCTCTTGTCTTCTTCTAATCCAAGATCCAAAATTACCATCTCTTCCCTACCCATTTCTTATCCCATTTTAAAGACACATAATTTCTCTTGAGCAAACTGTAATTACTCAGATTATGATTCCATTGAATAAGTTAGATGCCTGAGGGGCCTCCTCTGCTCCTGAATGATTTTTTTCCCCCCTCACCACACACTGTGTTCACATGATTCTCTGCTGAGCTGGAGTGCAGATGTTCTTTAGAGCTCAGTAATCACCGGCTTGGGGCTTCTCGCCGCTCGGCCCTAGTCTTTAACAGCATGTAAGCACTTACTCATTTGCCTTATAATATCATGGTGGGAAACCTTAAAAGAGGCTGTAGTTTATACAGAGACAAGCTAAAGATGCTGTCTCCCCTGACATAAACCGTTATGTTTGCCAAAGAGACAGAGCTGCTTGTTGGAGTGGCTTGTATTGACTTTATCCAAGGAAAGGAAGAAGTCCTGAGGTAGTTTTTTTTTTTTTAACCCAAGTTTTCCTCATGTTGAAAATAGTACCACTGCTGACTGGATATGACCTGATTCAGCCTGTAATCTGTGTGTGTCTGATCTGAGTGTGTGAGAGTCAAGAGAAAGGTGCGAGTCTGCATGTAAACATGTGTGGAAAGTAAAGTGGTGTTTAGCAGAGAGTGCTCGTCCCTTTAATCTAGCAAAGTCTTACAAGTGTTAATGTGCAGAGATAACTAGAGGTCTGCTGTATCATTGCTCACTGGCCTCTCTGGTGTCTACAGACGCCCTGTCGCCCCGTAGAGTCCTGTGAAACTCTACACATCTACCTTTTTCTTTACACATCATTAAATGTATAGGCCACGCACCTGAGCATTGTGTTTTCACCAGATGAGAAAAAAAGAAGTTAAAAGGAGAGTTAGAAACAGGGAATAATGTTGTATATCTATAATCTGCAAGATACTCAATTTTTTTTTAAAGAAAATGCAAAAAATCTAAACGTTTGAGGCAAAACTTTAATTGCTGTTATGTGTTCACTGCACCTGCCGGAGCTCAGCAGTGGATTCAGTAATCTCACATCTTTTACTGTACCTGTCTCTACTGATGAACGGCAAGTAGAAACAAGTATTAATTTATCACCACTGTGTAGGTATTTGATCATAGACTTAGATGCGCATTAAAGGTGCCCTCCAACAAATTAGTATAGCACCTCCACAAAGGTGGTCAAAGCAGCTGATGCCAATTTATCCTGAATTCAAGTCCCTACTAGTAAAATCACTGAATTCCTCATAATGCAGTTCTGTCGTGTGATTGGTTAGACACACATTGCTGGGTTAAATGCACACATCATTTCACAGCACAGACTTTCTGTTAACAATGAGCCCAAATCTGATGACATCATCGAGGTTATTTTTTTTCGGTCCTTGGAAAACTCCCTGCAGAACTACAGGAGTCATTATACAGCTGTTTCCAGAGGCTGAGTAGTACGTCCCATGATGAATAAATTGACCTTGATGTGTAAAATAGTTGGAGCGACCCTATAAATGATGCATTACCATAACATCCAGCATAAATAAAGGATTATGATGCCCCCAAGTCAGACAAATACTTGAAGTACAAGCAGAGACCAGGTCTTATTTATAAATGAGAATGAACTGTGACAACGAAAGTTGAGGTACAGCATTGCTAGAAAAGGCCACTGTCACTGGAACATGGAAGATGTGTTTTCGGGGGAAGATGGCAGAAGGAAACATGAGATCCAAATGACACGCAAAACACACAACTAGTCACATGACGGTGCTGACGGATGGCTAGGAAGTGAATGATGTGAGAAAATTTAAAGAATTAAGCTGGACTTATACTTAACACAAGGAGTCAATGGGTGTACCACCATAAATACCTACAGTGTAGGTTTGGATTCATAGTTCGCCATCAGATTTCATCTGTTCGTAGCACCACTGCAGCATTTATTATTATTGTACCTGATTGGGCAATTATTGTTCTCATATACTTGCAGCTCTTCTTTATCTCTTTATTTATGCTCTTTCATTCACTGTGATAAAGTGCGATGATTGCGACAGGCCGATAGTCTGCAGTGGAGATGGTTATACTAGATTTACTTTAACTTCTTGTGTTGTCTTCATTAGGAACAATCTCTATATGCATCAGAAACTTGCTGACCATTCACTGGTTGCATGTGTTGTTACATTTCTGAGCAGGCAACAGCAGCAACAGCATGTTCTACAGTGCAGCTACGGCGGCTACGTATGTTTATAGTTTCGTAGCTGCACCATTATCCCTTCATGCAGGACGATACAGGGTTGAAATGTGGTGTTGATCCATTGACGCTGTTCTACTTAAAGCAGGTGATGTTTTATTTTGGAAGGCAGGTAACTCGTACGTTGTCTTAGTTGCTCTGTCTGTGGTATTCATTAAAACATGCAGTACGTACTGACAGAAGAAAGTTAAATCTCTTCACACACGCAAACACACACACACACACACACACACACACACACACCACCATTATTACCATCCCTGCAGATGGAATTAATTTCCTGTCATTATCATCTGCTAACTCCTGGAAAAGAAAGTGGAGAGCTGGCAGATGTGGTGACGCAGAGAGAGAGAGAGAGAGAGAGAGAGAAAGGGAGAGGGAGAGAGAGGGACAGAGAGAGAGATGTAAAGCATGAATTGTAAGTTAATGATGTAACTTCAGACAGTTGGGCCTTTAGATTTATTGTTGGATTGTGGTGGTTGCCAGGTTGGGTCATTAATAGTCATTAATTACATCTTTGTCTGATGGCAAATCATATGATATGTTCTGCAAAATCTCAAACAGAATCAGTATAATCTCATATTTAAAAATCAGATGTTCATGTTGTTGTAATAAAGTCAGTGTGATGTTCCAAGGGTGTTGGTTGAAGGGAAGAAAACTTATGAAATAATCTCCTGGCGTTGTGAGGTGATTACACTGATATCGCTTGACAGAAGGAGCTGTCAAGAAAAAGGAAACTGTTTCATTTTAAAAGGGGAATATTTGATGAGGTGTATGTTATCACAGACCACGTATGTTGTAAATGCCAGACTGAAAGACGGATGAAAAGATGGGCAAACGAGAGACGACAGCAGTGTGTGCTGATGGGTGACACCTCCTTTGACCTCCTCTAGCTCTGTTTTGAATTCCAGTCTATTTTGGGAAACTGCACTCTATTTTGCCAAGGACCTTCTCTCCCTCTCTCTCTTAATTCAAGTCTTTGATTTGATATATTTTATTCATAGCCTGGGGGAAAATTTTCTTTCCACCTTGTGCTCACAGGTTGAGCCTTTCAGAGCGATGCCGCTGGAGCAGGTAGCTGTGAAGCTTGCTCAAGGTTGTTTTGGCAGGTAACGATGTGCTGGGGTTAAAGCCACTGACACCGCAGAACGAAAACTCCAAACCACTGGACCACGTGGAGCTTTCATGTAGTCAAAATAAAGAACTTCCTCGAGAACTTCCCATTGCACCATGGAGGATTGATGGAAGCAGGAGATGATTTATGGACAGATGGAAGATGTGCTTGGCAGCCGGAGAGTTAAAGAGTTGGATGGATGAAGGGATGGATGGATGGTTAGAGGGATGGATGGGGCTGATGATGGCAGCCTGCCATGTATCCAGGCACTGTTTTGACAAGAGCTTTGCCATGGCCTCCCCTTTGTCCTGTCTCTGTTTATTTTGCCACCTGCTAGTCTGGGGGGAATGGGGTCAGTTCAACAGGAGCAGGGTCCTGTCTCACACACACACACACACACACACACACAAAGGTCAGAGGTCACTGGGTCAGTGGGTGTATGTGTGTGTTTTCAGTGAGGTATGTGTTTATGTGTGTGTGTGTGTGTGTGTGATTGCACAGCTATTTTGTATACATGATGTGGGTTGTGGAGTGAATTAGATAGAATCCTGTGGTCGTGTTTAAGGTTCAGTGGCTCAGTCACTCAGTTCAAAGAGCAGTTACGGCCACTTAATGAAAACAGGAAGCCAAAGCACTGAAGTTACTCTGACATTAAAGTGGTGAGCTAGACAAGTTGATTTGCTTCGTGATGTGTCTTGCAACAAAAACTACAAATATAAGCTGAATCTCCTCCAGTATAGCCTCTTCTGCAGAAGGGGAAATCAAAATAGATGTTATTAATATGCTGAGTATAGTGCAGCCATATGTGCATGTCCACATCTTTATGCTGTTTTCCAATAAAGATGACACATTAGATGAAGTTGACTGTTTCAAACCTGTGAATAAGATTAGTCAGGGTCGGGGAATAGAATCAAGTAGTGAATTAAATTTTAACATTTTTAAAAGTGCAGTGTACACTGGACGGATTTTATTTTGGAAACAAAACCAGGAACACAATGTTGTCATTATATGAATATGTCAATAACAGGCACTGCAGTATTTTCCGCTTGGAGTAAATGATGTTTTGAAGAAAAGCCCTAAACTGGACTGAACTAGTTGTGCACACAATTTATATTTTGTTATAATCAATTAAAAACAAAAGTCAGCTCTCCATGAAAATAGTAATTTTATGCTTTACTGTCTTCCAGCTAAATTTGACATCTCCTCCTCTAAAGCAGCTGGATGCACTGTGCACATCTGCCTAATATTAGGATAGAGTGGAGGTTCTCAGTTTAGGTGGGGCTGATCTGGGCAGATTTGGAGGTGAAATGTGAGTGTCTACAGCTACACTGTATAGCACTGTCAAGGCCAGGAAGTGGAGAGTATGCTTTCAAATACTAAATATTTAGCGGTAACTACCATTGAAAAATGTATCTGGAGGGATTTTTGTGGGGTTTTGTGAGTAACCTGTGGTTTTCACTTATTGTCCATGGTGTTTGTGTGTGTGTTTTCCAGTCAGGTTTGATCCGTGTGTCTCAGGAGGAGTATTTGATTGCCCCGCTACCCCAACATCTGGCTAAACAGCACAACTACAGCGTCCCCAGTGGTCACCACCCACATGTTGTCTACAAACGCTCAGCAGAACACGTTGTCCACAGAAGATCTACCAGTTCTTCCAGACCTGACGATCCGTACCGTCATCATCATCATCAGCATCATCATCACCATGACTACCAGCATGGAAAGCTACAGAGGCAACACTTCTGCGGACACCGCAAGCAATGTATGTAAGGGAACCTTATATTCCTTATATTACCCTTTTATTCCTCCGTCACTATCTGATAATTGTGTATTAATGTTGAGGAAGTGAAGTTACTGTTATAATGAATTGTCAGTTTATTACATTCACCCTTCATACAACATGTCATATGTCACTGATTTGACTATGGTGTGTGATGTAAATCTGAAAAATCTGGCATTTAGAGCCTTTACATTCATTAGATATTTACATGTACGGCTTTCTTCAAGTAACTGTCTAACTATATTTGTATGTGAACAGGCAACTTAGTCTGTGTGCATCATCCATGTTTAAAAAATCAATTTCTGTTTTTATCACACTAAGTAAATAAATAAATTCACTTTTCCTCCCCCAGACTGACAAAATGTCAATTTTCAACACTAAGTGGTGAAATACAACATCTAAACTGGGCTCATGAAGATCTTTGCTTCTAAAATAATTCTGTATAATTCACATTTTATCATTCTGTTTGTTGTTTTGGTTTATTTGGTTTAGTCTTTATGTCATTATGCCAGTGTAATTGGCTTTCAGCTTCTATTTGACATACACTATACAGGATTATTGGATGCAAATTTCTTGGATGAGGAAACAAAAAATGCAATTTTAGACTGTAGTAATTGATTTTTTGTCTCAGTATTATCATCTATAATTAAAGCTCACATTATCATCTCCATACCAAAAAGGATTGTTCTATACAGATGCTATTCTGTCAGGGTAAACAAAGACTTGAAAAAGTAAGTAACAAAAAAATATTGTGGTGCTATTATTGTAGTGTCATCACCACTTCACAACACAATGGTGTTTAATATTTTACAGAACAGTCATGTCTTTTACTGTCTTTTAGTTGCCATTTTATTTGAGTGCATAATTATGACAAATGTTTTTGAGGCCATTGTGAGAGGGATACACCAGTTACTCAACCCTCTGCCTAGGTTGCAGTTATATCTTTCTAGTGGTGAGAGGTAGGAAGCAGCATGGGGAGTGAATTTCCTGTCCTTTCAACACCCTACTCTGCTCTTATCACCTGGCACGAGCCAGGAAAAAGACAGTTCATTCATTTGACCCTCACTGCCAAGTTCTCTCTCTCTCTCTCTCTCTCTCTCTCTCTCTATCTCTGTGTCTTTGTACTTCATAACTCCCTCTGTCCCTCCTCCCTTCCGTTCTTCCCTTTTCACCCTCGTAGACGCTCCCAAGCCTCCCGCTGAGGACCGTTTCATCATGCCCGATGAGTTTGCGATGCCCGGGGTGGAAGGACCAGGAAGGGCAAAGAGATCGCCCATCAACTCCAACAGGGTGGGTGGTCTGAATGTGGAGACCCTGGTGGTGGCAGACAGGAAGATGCTGGAAAAACACGGCAGGGACAACGTCACGACCTACGTCCTCACCGTCATGAACATGGTGAGAAGAGGGAGGAGAAGGAAAGGAGGACCTGGCATGTAAAATACTTGACAGTAAAGAATAAAAGATGCACTGTAAATCTGTTGTATTGCTCTGTTTAACCCAGCTGTTGTTTGAATTCTTCTCCTGGCATCTAACGTGGGAGACTCTTGACAAACTGCATGGCGAGGGTCAAGTGTTTGAATCCTTATGTAGCTTGTAAAAGAAGAAATACCACATTCATTTTGTTTTTAAAAATGTAAAGGAAAATTCATAAGCATTGAAATGTACCTTTACACTTTTGCTGCTACGGCGTTACTTGGTCTAGTATGACCAGTAGCTTGTGGTGGCTAACGTTGGCTAATATAAGCAAACTTTAGATAGATATTGCTGCCGAACAGACATTACTGAGTCAATGTGCTTCCTTTGTCTCTCTTGTGTGACATTATTCCATAATTGTTTAAACTTGTTGCTGTTTCCGTTGCTCATGTGACCCTTGCCTTGCAGGTCATAACGATCCGTTGAGAGTCGCCCTGATTCTGTGGTCAGCAAAGGTTTTAAAGCCACCAAGATTTGGACCTGCACCCACCTTAAATTTGGGTTCAAGAAATTGTCACAATCCAGGATGTGGATATGAGTATTAGCCTTACACACATCCTCCCTAAGGCTAAACATTACTTAGTGTTTCTCTGTAAGAGAAAAGGAGAGCATAAGCAGATCAGAAAATCATGAATATTGGACTGGGCACATCTGGGATATTAACAAATTCTATTTCCTACTCTGTTGCAGGTTTCCAGTCTTTTCAAAGATGGCACCATTGGGACCGACATCAACATTGTGGTGGTTAGCTTGTTACTACTAGAACAAGACCCGGTGAGTAGATTCACATAACGATTCTGCAAAAATATGTTGTTTTGCACTCAAACACTGGTGACTGACACTCATTCTCTGTATCACTGTTTCTCTCGCTTCACTTCCAGCTGGGCTTGACCATAAATCACCATGCTGACCAGTCCCTCAACAGTTTCTGTCAGTGGCAGTCAGGCTTGGTGGGGAAAGGCGGCAAACGTCATGATCATGCTGTTCTCCTCACCGGACTGGACATCTGTTCCTGGAAGAACGAGCCCTGTGACACCCTGGGTAAGACCGTGCTGTTGAGGGAGCTGTCTGCATTGGCAACAACTAAGAAACCCCTAGTATTAAGGTTACGTGAATGGGAATGTGGTTTCAGATTTTTTGACTGCACTTTAGATGTTGTAATTTTTAGGCATGTAGACAGGTGTTGAGGTGATACTGTTGGTGTAGACTTTACAGTGAGTAGTGACGAAAATTTGACAGGTGCAAGCAGGAGAGATGAGTATCCCAATCACACATACTTGGCAGTAACCCAAATGTTTTCGCAATTCTTTTTTTGGCATTTTGCCTCTCTTGCATGGTAATGGTGTAGATGCAGGAAGGGAACATGGAGAGAGAGGAGGTTATGACCTGCAATGGAATTCCCCGGGCAGAAATGCAAACATCACCTTGATCAGCTGACACTCTGGAGGAAAAGATCTCATTAAAAAGTATCCTGCCATGGTTGTCTGTCAAATGCATTTGAAAAAGACCTGGGTCTCGATAGGCAAGATGAAAAATCTGCAACAAAGTGACAAATTTTGAGCAAGAACCAAGGTCCACCATGTCAGAAGTGACCAGTGTGCTTTAGGATGACAAGGATAATTAATCTTACAGCTTGTAGGAACAAGATGCAGCTGGAACAACAACAATGCAGCCAACTCATCCTGGCTAATATCATCATATTGAATTCACACGAATAAATGCTCGTAATGTCAGGGCAGCAGTTTATCTTGTTATCTCATTATCTACTGGGGTATAAAAGATGAAAAGTGACTCAAAAGTGACTCTCTGCCAGCGTTGTTAAAGCTTGACATCATTTCTTGAAGTCACAGGTACATTCAGCAACCACATATTGATTTTCCTACTGTACAAGCTGTTATTCTTGGGTCCATTGCAACTGAATATTTTGTCAGCTTGACGGTCACAGTAAATCCCAAAGTTAGGATCACTTATCTTCCCCTTAATATTGTCAGGTCCATTATGAGCAGTAGTCCTATAAACTGATCAGTTATCAAAGTCTGATCAGTGAGCCAGGCTTGTGAAGTAGCACTTTGCAGCTGGTGTGAAATTCCCCTCCAGACGTGCAAGTACGTGAATGCATTTGTTACAGATATTTGTTGGCTGCCAAATCTGTTCGAGGTTTCAGCAGAAAGAATGTGCTCAGAAACAAGAGGATTTTATCTTACAGATGTGAGGTTGGATTTTGTTAACCTTCGGCTTTATATGCAGTCAGTATGTTACAGTGAATAACCAAATATCTCCTACTCCTCCTGACACCTTATCTGTCTTCGTCTGTGCAGGTTTTGCCCCCATCAGTGGCATGTGCAGTAAGTACAGGAGTTGTACCATCAATGAAGACACGGGACTGGGCTTGGCTTTCACCATCGCTCACGAGTCTGGACACAAGTATGTTTAGCAAAAACTGCATTGAGGGCATCACATAAATTCACTTGTGAGCACAAACTTTCTGAGTGTCATAGTTGTAAAGCTGCTTTCTCTAAGTTGACAACAACACTGGCAGAAATTGTGCCAGTGACTCAAAACAGTGTCAGATGTTTAGAGCAGTGCACTGTACCAGTCTTTGTACTGTCTCTGTGCTGCACGTGGATGTAATGAATCTATATTAAATGAAATGAACATGGTCTGATTTAAAGAAACAAATACACTGTGGAATAAAAGCATTACGTTAGAGCACTACTTCATCCACTCCATGACACTTTATGAGAGAATAATGGAAACTGCCCGAGGCAGCACAACTCTGTGTTTGTGTTTATACGTTTTTTATTGAGATAGAAGTTTATTTTGATATTTGCAGATTTCTGTTTGTCTGGGAACAAATTGTTTTTTATTAATACACTCAGGTGATAACATCAGAACGTCAGAATGATGAAGTATTCTAATGAATTTGGTCAGCTGAATAGAACATGGGTCTAGACCTAAAACTGATAAATTAGCAAAGAAGTAATTGTTAAACATATGACACACTGTAGTAATGACTCAGTTCAACCAAATATATTTTCATTGTATGACATAGTATAACATAAAAAAGTGGGCAAACGATGACATCAGTTTTATCATCACAGGGGAAACTGTCAAGATCAATAAAAATCAAATAGCTGAAATTCACCTGTTGCTGTTTCTCATTTGAAGCTCTTATCTTTGAATAACTTGTTTCACTATGATACTATGACGAGGTGTGAACCTAATGTCACCTATTTCTCTTCATTTTTCTCCAGTTTTGGGATGATCCACGATGGGGAGGGCAACCCTTGTCGCAAGACCGAAGGCAACATTATGTCTCCCACTCTGGCTGGAAACAACGGGGTCTTCTCCTGGTCCACCTGCAGCCGACAGTACCTCAGCCGCTTCCTTGGGTTAGGCCTGACACACACACACATACGGCGTTAAATTTGCTTGTCAGTTTTTGTTGCTTTCTTTCTGACTGACACGGGTGGTGTGCTGTGTTCACCAGAACAGCCCAGGCATCCTGTCTGGTGGACGAGCCCAGGCAGATCGGTCAGTACAAGTATCCTGAACAGCTCCCGGGCCAGTTGTACGATGCTGACACGCAGTGCAAGTGGCAGTTTGGCTCAAAGGCAAAACTATGCAGCCTTGATTTTGTCAAGGTGAGATACGTATGAATTTTAAACATGGTTTTCATTTGTTGTCATTTTATTTACTTTGAAACCATTTAAAGCTTCAATTTATAAGTCTTGCTATTGCTACATAGCCAGCGTTAGCATTAACAGATGTTTACTTACCAGACAAGTAGGAACGTTGTCAGTTCGGCACCAACCGTCATTCCTTTACTTGCCAAGAGCTGTCTCCAGAGTTGAAGTCATTCCTACAATAGATCCTCAAACTAACCGTGTCTTGTGCAGTTGCACAGAACCAAAGTTGAATAGTCCTGGTTTTACATGGACCTCAACAATTGTAAATCAGTTCATTCATGCGTCTCTGCCTAAACCGAGATGCACTAGATGAGTCTCCACTAATGAGATGTGGCACTCGGATCATATAGGGGCTGCACTTGTTTGCTTTACAGTGCCACTAAATTGGCACTTTATTAATTAGCATGATATTTGCACAACAACTTTAAACCCCCCACATGTGACCCTCCATTAAAATACATTATATCTTTTGAATGGGAATCCCCCCCCCCCCCCATGTACCCCCCTGAATCCCTGTGGTCTTGGTATAAGCCTTTATGTTCGATCCATTCAGTGATGTTGATTCACATGTAAATGCTGTTTAAAATACTCCAGGCTTTCCTCTTGCAGGGCTGTAATTGCTGGGAAATCGTGTATATGACACATTAGCACACATGACATGGCCTTGGCTATTCACGACTTATTCACGACTCCAAATCCCTGCTATGTTCCCCTAAAAGAAGACCAAATACTACATCTGCATTTCTTAGACCTGTGTGCCAGTCAGTGGGTGGTAAATTAATCTACACACTGATTGACTGAGGATTTGGGGCTACCTTTCACACTTTTTCTCCCCACTGTTTTTTTTTGGCCCTGATGGGCTCATGTAGAATGATTTTCAGTATGGCGGTGTGGCTGTCAGCCACCTGCTCCGTGTCATAGAAGTGAGGACAAAGACTCAACACACACCAGAGCTGTCTCTCCTGCTCTTACCCTCCCTCCTTTCTAGTTTCTCTCCCGTTGCCAGTTGCAGTTGGGCGGGTTGCCAGACTCTGCCGCCTGTCTCTCGACCTTGGCTCTCCCTCTGTGCTCACTCGCTCGCTCTGTCTCTGTATTGTTGGGTCAGATGACACATACAATTATAGCCCGTTTCATTAAAGAAGTACAGTGATTAGATTTGACACAGACGCTTTGTGGAGAAGCTTATTCCCAGTTATCGCGGCGGTGGGGGCTTATCCACCAGCATGATGGTGGTCCTGGCAAGAAGCAGGTGCTGTCAGGTCAGGGAAGAGGAAAGAGGGGAGGGACATGATGCAAAGGTGCCAAAACTGAAAACTTCCTGTATGTCTGTGTGTGTCTCCTTTGACAGGACATCTGTAAGTCGCTGTGGTGTCATCGCACAGGACACCGATGTGAGACCAAGTTCATGCCCGCTGCAGAAGGAACCAGCTGTGGTCCAGACATGGTGAGGAAATGTGAATCACAATAGCCAATTACTCATTCTGAAGACTGACAGTTTTACTTACTGATGCAATTAGACACCAAGCAAACATTTCTAATAATAATGACAATAATAAGAATAATCTTTATTTATAGAGTTACAAAGTGCAAAATAAAACTAAAATCATGAGATAACTAGAAGGGCACTCACAAGGTGCAGTCCTCCGCCAAGGCCAGTCTCAAACAACTTACACTAGACTTCTGAGAAACAAAATTCCAATTCATAGTAAATGATCTGGATCTGCCCCAAAATTTAATGGCTTCCCTGGCTCATCCTCCATTCCTCCGCCAAATTCAGTCCAAATCGGTTCTTCATCTTTTCCATTACTGGACAAACACTGCTGACAAACAAACACACAAACAAACAGACACAGGTGACAACATAACATCCTTGGCAGATAGAAGTAGTGATAAATGGACAAGTATCAACCAAACAGTGTCTCCTTTTGTGTATGAACAAGCATGGACAACACAGTCAAGAGGATAAGAAACAGATTCTGATATTTGGGTGAAAAGAGTGAAAGATGAGTGAAAAATGATACTTTGATTATAATTATGATTGATTACAACTCTTGGTCTTGGGCCAACATTCCTATTGCTAATAAAAACACATACTTACCAAATTCATTGATGAGATTTGGTCCGAACGGAAGGAACATCAGCAGTCAGGTGATTTTAAAAGACTAGTTTGACATTTAGGGAAAATACACTTCACATTCTTGCCAGCTAAGCCTAGCTTAGTGTAGTTACTTTGCTGGAATCATTGCTGGTTACCTGGCATCCTCATGGTGACAACACAATTTCAGAGGGTCACTGATTTAAGTCAAGACATAGTCTAGCAAATGACCCCTCGTAAAACTACAATTTCACATTTATATACTTTGGTTTTTGTACATATTAAACAAACAAATTAGTGCATTGCATTTTCCCTATGTTTCCAGTTTTTGTGTTAAGCTAAGATAACTGGCTGCTGGTGGCAGCTTCATATTTACTGCACAAACACGACAGTTTTATTGGTCTAACTCACTGTCAGAGAGCCAATAATCGTCCTTTCAGCAAATCCCCACAAATTAGTCAGCCTACTTTAGTTAGGGCAAACCTCAAAATTATTACCCAAACAGTCCATCGTAAACATCCATCACAATTTACAGACCCACTTCCTGGTTCAGCTTTGATCTACTGTAAAGTGTGTAATGAGGGATGGTTTAGGTAATCTGTCCAAACTGTTGGCATGTTTACAGCCTGTCTGAACATCTGACTGCTCATTTCTTGCCACAGCTGCCTTTGTTATGGTGATGTCATCGTGTTTCTAGATTACATTCACTGAGTTAATGTTCTGATAACAAATAGAAATAATGGCTAGCAGTATAAGAAACAATTTGTAATAAACTGCAATAGTACTTTACATAGTATATATGTACCTATAAATATTTATATATTTATTTACGTCTATTTATTTGGTCACTTATTCGATTAAAAGAAAATTACTAATATCAATAAATACTCGGATGGATAAGTATCCATCCCCGCTGCTCATACTTGTTTGTACCTGCAGAAGTATTTTTGTATCGTCACTTCTCTCAGCTGGACACAGCGGCTGCGCCCCTTCACACATCGAAAGCTGATATTTAGAAAGAGAGAGAGGCGATGATGTGTGTGAGCGCAGGGTTTGGCTTGGATTGGCTCGGGTGTGGTGCACAGTGTATCTGTACGTGTGTCTTTTGGCTGCAGCTAGAGAGTCTTAGTGTCCAGGTGTGATGCTGGGCATTTGTCCAAACCAGGAAACTCAGGCAAGACGCCTGGGCCAACACTTGAGTTCTGATAAGAAAGCCATTTCTGTGTGTCTTATTCTCTTCTCCTCTTTTATTTACTTCTTTCTCTTGTCTGCAGTGGTGTCGGCGAGGCCAGTGTGTTAAATATGGGGAGCATGGTCCCAGGGCGGTCCATGGCCAGTGGTCAGCCTGGTCCCAGTGGTCCGACTGCTCCAGGACCTGTGGAGGAGGGGTCATGTACAGGGAGCGCTCCTGCTCCAGCCCAAGGTATACACTCTTGCAGTCTTGCATAGTCCTCTAATCTGATTCATCACCTCCTTTTTAATGTTTATAGATAGTTTAAGTAGCCACGCAGATGACAAAGTGATTCATGTTGTCATGTGGCTGCTAATACAGTGAAAATCTGAGCCACGGTTTGGGCCAGAAAGTAATTCTTGAAGGTCTCGCGTCCCAAAAATTCTTCCTTTCTGAACACCTGAATGCGCTGTCTGCCAGGTAGCTGTCAGCAAAGACATGCACACACATACTGTCCACACACACACACACACATGCGCCTGATAACGGCTCTCATCAGTCAGGCTGACAGTCCAGACAGACAGACTATCTCTCCCTGTGCTCCAGACGAGGAAAACCTCCTAATAGCATGCTCTTTTCTCTGAAAGCTGCCAAGACGGTCGGCAAACGTCCCCTATTGCTGCTCACTCACACAAACATAATTCTACATAATTCTGCAGACCCAGATCCCACAGTGCATATCTCTTTGTTAGTAAAAGGGCTCTGTGCATGTCATTACACTCACGTGAAAGATTTTTTTTTTTCAGTTTTAATGTTGTGTTTCATAACAGACATACAGTACAATCCCTTGTTGATGTTCCCCACATCACATAAGAGATTTATTTGATGTTTTTAAGACTTTATTTTACTTTTATACAATATTTAATAGATTTATTGCTTTTGGTCTATCACTACGGGGATTGATAAAATAATTGATAGTCTGAGTCTGCAGTTATTTAGCTACCCCCCACAACACTGCTCTTTAAATTTCATACAGGACAAGCGGGATGTCCGCAATGGGATATTTAGAGAAGGATTAATTTCCTGATCATTCATGCCATTTTTCTGCCTTTACTGTGCAGTACAGTATGTGTAATCCATCAACCAAAGCTACACTTACAGAGACCTTGACAAACACTGACGTTATGTTGCAATTAAACGCAGTGTTTGAACGAGAACAAGTGAAGGGTTTAAAATCGTCTCCTTGAAGAGTGTTTATACAAGCAGTTTCCTCCATACTGTAACACAGGGACACTCGTGATGGGGATGGTGGAACCAATTAACTGTTTTTATATTTTCGCTCGAGGGAGCAACCAACAAGAAAACTTAACAGAAATTCCTCGACAGCAACTCCGATGTTTTTCCTTGTTGTGTTTCTAGCCAACTGTCAAGTGGATTTTAATTTCTCTTGATATTCAGTAAAAAAAAAAAAAAACAGAGGAGGAATTGACATGTGGATCTACAACAATTAAAGGAAACAGCATTGCCACATAGAATTTCTATTCACACACACAACCCAAACATACTGTACAACTAGACTCTCATACCACGGTAAGTTTCCAGTAGGATCATGGCTAATGGCTAACATCCAAGGCCACTGCACCACACTGATTGGTGGACAGCTCTCAAACTGCTGATTGGTTTGCACTGTTAATGATTACCATCATTTAGGAATTAGTCATAGCAGGTTAGATCATAGTGGCACATCACATCCAATCCTATATGTACACACAGACTCGTGTGTCTCTCTGTGTTTAAGTGCAGGTGAGATGATACTAGGGACACAGTTGCTCTCTTCATTACTTCTGCCCCTGTGTCTTTCAGCCAAGAGAATGAACAATATGACTTCATACCATCATCTGCCATGCCACATACTCGTTCACACAACCTCAATGGTTGGGTCAGATACATAGGAGCTTACACAGAGAACAACGTAATGCAATTTAATAGACAGCCTCAAGAAATTAGAGTTGAATCGAAACAATAAGTGCTAATGAACTAACTGATATCTCAACTGCTTACCGTGCTTCAGCTGACATTTCAACGGCTTTCATCTCGTACAATTCAACTACTTTCAGTGCCTATACATAAACTGATAGTTTCACTGCTCTCACCTCTTTATTCTCCATCCGAGTTCCTCTGCTTTCAGTGATTACACTTCATCTACTCTACATCTCGTCTCCTGTCAATATGCTTCAACTGATACTTCAGACTCTTTCAAGTGTCAGGTCCTGCAAATTCCTCAGTTCCTCTAACTTCCAATTTCTACTGTTTGTACGCAAGATACTTGAACTGCTTTCAGTGTTGACCCTTCAGCTGACACTCGATGGCCTTTGTCTTTCAGTTTATACACTTGAATGTGCACTAATTTGTTTCACTCCAAGGTCAGTGTATCACCTGCACTTTGATGATTTCAGCTCCTTTCACCTTGTTCCAGCCCTTTCACTCCAACTGATTATGCCTCCAACTTTTCTCAGGGCTTACATTTAAATTCATACTTCAATTTGGATCATTGCTTACATTTACTCTGACAATTCCACTTCTTCCAGTTATTGTGTTTTGACTGCCAGAGGAAGTGGGTGTGCCGCATTTCTGCTGCCACCACGTTTAATTTTTTTCCAGAAAATTCAGCCTTTTCTAGTTTGACATTTTCTTCTTAAACCATTAATGAGTCTATTCAGATTTCCACAGACTTCTACTACACTGTCCTCTTTACTCCACTGGCTTCATCAGCGCGTACTTAACAGCCGGGCAGATACTGATGTGGCCGTTCTGTCCGTCACAGCCGACTTGTCTCCTAATCCCTGTGAGGGATCAAAGACGTTTTCAGAGGCAGACCGGCCCTCATATGATACACATTATACACCATGACTGGCAGACCAAAAAGGGCCACAGAGCCCTTTAAACCAGGTTAGCTGTCAAGTTCATTTATCATTCCTGTGGCACTAAAGAGCGCTTTGTAGCAGCTGCTGCTGAAAAATGGGTTGATGCTGCTAAACGGTGAGTTATGGGGTCAGCGAGCCAGACAGAGGATGTGAAGATGGTGAGGTTGAAATATTAAATCCACTAACGCCAAGTCATGATATCATTATCATATTACATACAATGGGCCAAACAGTTGTCAGATCCAATGTGAAAACAATACAATTAGACTGGGATATGTCTTAATATAACATCTCTTCACTTCCATTGCCATTGTCAACCCCACCACCCCAACGCACACCTCCACCACAAGAATTCAGCCACACAAACACACTTTTTCCCAGCTGCACCATGTACCCCTGAGTCACGTTTTAGTCCCTGACTCATGACATTCAGAGTGCGTTTGTCCCCAGTAATCTCTGCGATTATTTTGGCAGAGCCCCTCTGCTCTTAATCTGAGCAGAACAAGGAGGATTAGCCTGAATCTGACAGCTTGTCTCTAATGTCATCTTCACCCCCAAACTGAACTGTCTGGACAGTCTGGGGTGTCACTGTCAAATCTCTGGAAAGATCAATGACGCTTGACACATTTTAAACAATTAGATTCCTGCCAAACTTGCAGTCTACAGCATAAATTACATGTAGGTTTAGCCCTATAAAATCCTGATTTTTGAGTTTAGCTAGTAGAGATGACAGCTTTACCTCTCCTCTACTACAAAATCTTCTCCCAGCAGGAGCAGCCTTGAAGATGGTTCATTTGATTCGGCACAAACTCATCCATTTTACAAGGCAAGCATGTATCTTTTGCTCAAGTCTTGTAAAGGAGTTTCTTTGGGATCTGCCAATTAAACTCTTCCCTTCAAGGAGTTTCTCCAAGACGGAAAATGAATCTTCTCCTCCTCCCTCTCTCCCTCCATCTCCCTCCCAACTCCTCCGTTCGCCGTAGACCACCTGCCAGATCAAACACAGTCAACCTAATCCTCACCAACAAGCCTGGGAGATTAGGCTCGCGATCTTGACCTGGTTTTGTAGGGAGCACATTTTGTCACACACTTGATTTAAAGGGAATGGGGGGGGGGGGGGGGGGGGTGCAATGAGGGGGCGATGGTGCTTAGATAGACCCCTGTTCGTTGGAGTCTCTCGGTTGACTTGTGAAGGTGTTTCACGGGGGTTAGGCCCGAAGCACGGCAGCAGAATGAGGATCTATGTGGGAAATCACGAGAGGGGCAGGGAGAGAGCAGGTTACTCAAGAACAAGACAAGACTAGACATGGTGACCTCTGACCCACAGGAGTTCGGTCTCAGCTTCTGCTGCCGGGCAGATTTACTGAGCTCCCGGGACATTTAAGCATCCTTAAGGGTCCTGAGGGCTGCGTCGAGGCTGGGTGTTGAGACAGAAGAGGAATGACTGAAACACAAACCGAAACACTTGTCATATCTGGTTTCTGTCTTGTTCTTGTAAGTAGATTTACAGTTGCAATGAGATGATCTAGGGAGAGGAGACTAAAGGGTGTAGAAGAGAAATGAGGAGTATTGTGAAACTCAGGGCCAGATGTCCATGCTCCATGAATTGCATTCAACTCCCCTCTCAAGTAAACTGTCCATCTCCTGTCCTCCTCTGATCAGAAGGCCTTGACTGACGAAGTATACGGTGTAGTTCCCCCAATGGCCTGCCATAAGCACATTACCATATGGGTTGCGTTTGTCTGCCGCTAAGTCTTAATAGGATCAGGACTATGAAAACCTGGGCCAAACCCCCCCCGCACCCCCTCACCAAGGGAAGCAAGATCAGCACAGAGCAGATTTACACACATACACACACACACACACACACACCTTCAATGAAGCTCCATCATTCTTGGCAGCTAGGTCACTCTGTGATTGAGTCCAGGTCTGAATGGAGGGGATGAACAGTTGGAGTTAAAGAAAAATGCAGTGAAGCAACATGCATCTCTGATTCTGATTGTTGCTGAACATTCATTTCATGCAGACACTGTTACAGGAAATTCAGAAGAACTATGCCTCTGGTTGCTTTCTCCTCCTTATGTTTACTGTTCTTATTAGACTCTTTTTCAGTTCCTTTTCCAAAGCGTTTCATTACACTGTAAAACTTAGTGAATTGTTTTTATTAGACAAGTTTGATCAGCATGGTTCCACAGTCTCTGTGTGTGTCTATGTGTCTGTGCTGGCCACTTTGGTAAATGGCTAAACTCAATTTTCTCAGTTGGTGGTTGTGTTGGAATGCCTGGTATGAGTTATGAAAGCCTGGGAAATCTGTCATGGCATCCTAATGTTCACTAAATGTCAAGAGGCTTTCATCATTTTGATGGGATGTTAAAGCTGTATTATCTGTTTATGTGCTGTATCTTTTCCTGTGGTCGAAGAAGTGTTGCTGTAGCACGGCGTATAGCAACACCTGACATGGCATCCAGGCTTTTCTTTGACAGCACCTACACAATCTGTAATTTACACTTTGATCAAGGATAACCATATACTAACAGACGCGATGGTATCATTTCCATGTATGACAGCAGCACTTTTGATGTAAACATTTTGTTCAATTCAATGGTGATGTCTTGAATCCCACTGTCCTCCAACACGATGCAATTTAGGTTATTGATTACACCGATGGTGAAGCCGAAAGAAAAAGTTTCACATTTCGGGATATATGCTTATTTTGTTTTCTTGCTGAGAGTAAGATGAGAGAATGGAAATCATTCTCATGTGTGTCCGTTGAATGTGAAGCTGCAGCCAGCAAGCCAGGGTGAAACGGCTAACCTGGCTCTGTCCAAAGGTAACAAAGAATCTAACACATAATAGCTTGTGTTTGTTTGCTAGTGCTGTACAAAAACTTCACAGGGAGTGATGTGCAGGACTACAGTGGCATGCTGGTGGCTTGTGAGGTTGCCAGACCTTCCTTTGGTCAGAGCCAGGCTAGCCTCTACTTGTTTCCAGTCTTCAAAATCAAAAAATCTAAATCAAATGTATATATAGAGCATATTTAAAAACAGCAAACAGCTGACCTAAGTGCTGTACAACATCAAGAAAAACACAGTCAACCAATGAATGAAAACGTAAACAGACAACAAAATAGCATGACAAAACAAGCAAGCAGACCAAATGAGGGAGACAGCTATGTAGCAATAGCTAACTTAACTTCGTCTTAATGCTAAGCTAAGTTAACCAGCTGCTGGCAGTAACTTCATACTTAATGGACAGACATGAGTGATGTTAATACCTAACTCTTGGCAAGCAAATAAGCATATTTGATGTAGTCTGTTGTATAATTATCTGGATATCAAAACTGTGTCTCAAGCGTATTTAATTACATGTTTTGGTTGTTGTTCCCTCATCAGCGGAATTGATCTGTTCTGTGGAGTAAACATCAATCATCAATTGGCTTATTGATGCATTGATGGCAGAACTGTGGTAATCAAACAAACAGGATATTTCAGATCTGTAAACTTAACTCTTCTTGTCTTGTCTTCCGCTCAGGCCACAGAACAATGGTAAATTTTGCTCGGGCTCCAGTCGGCTCAACCAGCTGTGTAACACTCGGCCATGCCCTCTCAACGCCGTGGACTTCAGGGCCCAACAGTGCGCTGAGTACAACAGCAAGCCCTTCAGGGGCTGGTACTACAAGTGGAAGCCCTACACACAAGTGGATGGTAAGTTGGTCAGTTGATCAGACCCACTGAACAGAGTCTGTTCAGTCGTGTGGTGCGTTTATATTTAATGTATGATTTGGTCTGAGGATGTTGTGTGTATTTTTCTTGTATCCTTCTTTGAGAGCTGCATATTTACAGATTATTTTGTGAATTAAAGGAGTTACTTGTAAGATTTGCTATTGCTATATAGCTAACGTTAGCATTAACAGCTGTTTTCTTACCAGTTTAGAAGAAATGTAATGAGTTCAGCATCAAACTTCATCCCTTTACTAACCAAGAGCTGTCTGCAGCAACGGCAATGCTAACTCTTGTCTCTATCACGTCTTTTCTTCTACTGAAGTTAGCACGCTAACCAGCTAGCCCCAGCCCATCTCGTTACTTTCTTTTTTTTTTTTAAAGTATATTTTTTGGGCTTTTTATGCCTTTAATGGACAGCACAGTGGAGAGTGACAGGAAACGGGGAGGCAGAGAGAGGGGGAATGACATGCAGTGAAAGGCCGTCCGATGCGGGATTCGAACCGGGGCCGACTGCAGCGAGGACTGTAGCCTCTACACATGGGGCGCCTGCTTAAACCACTACGCTACACGACGCCCCATCTCGTTACTTTCTGATAGTGACTCACTGTAGCCTCCAATCTGCCCTGAAGACGTAGCGCTGCTCAGAGGACGTATAATAACCTCTTGTCTTCTAAACACAACAATGTCTGAAGCTCTTGTCAAGCGACAATCCCTACCAGCCGCTCCTAGCAAGAAACCACGTTTGGTGGCAGAGAAAATGTATAAATAGCCCCTTTAAATTATAGTATTGCTCGAGGATTATGAAGACATCCCATGATTTACTGTATTATTGGCAGATAATGCACAAGAAAAGAAATCTCATTGTTCAAAGAACACAGCAAGACTATATAAACACAGAATTGCAGATTGTTCAGGGCAAGCTTTTTCTTGTCTTAATTCTGTAGAGCTTTTGTATTCTGCACTCTGCTGTACTCGGCTAGTCTTTTATAAAGTGTTTCTGTAATGCCAACCACTATTTACTGCTGCTGTGATTAGGGCCAAAAAGCTGGAGGAAACTATCATTCTGTGTAATGTACATGGGAGACATGTAGCCACCTGCACCCTCTGACACAGTGGGGATAGATTTAAAAAGGAAGCCTGCGGGCCAGCTTTGTTACAACGAGTGAGGGAGAGGGAGAGAGAGTGAAATGAAGGAGAGCCGTGCGTTTGGCTGTCGTCCCAGGCCTGTTTAAGCTGTTGATGAATGGGAGGTGATGTAGAGAGGAACAGATTCTGAACTGCCTTCTGGGACCTTGGGCCAAGTCACCTTCACCGTCATTTATTTTAATCAAAGATGGCTGCAGAGACTTGTCTGTGATAACTGATCTGAACTACAGAATAAACCTGTTGCCCCACATGAATACCCCTGGGTACATTTATAGTTCAGTTCCTGTCTTTTCCAATTCGGTCTCAGCAGGAGATGTGCATACTGTAAATGTAACAGGTTGCAGAACAGTAGCTAGTGAAACTTCACACGTACTTTACTGAATCAGTGAGATTTTACTCCTACAATTTGTAAATTCTGTTGATTCTAACTTCCCCGTTACTACTGTACACATCTGTTTGTTCTCTATGCAGATGAAGACATCTGTAAGCTGTACTGCATTGCAGAGGACTTTGACTTCTTCTTCGCCATGTCCAGCAAGGTCAAAGACGGCACCTCCTGCTCTGATCACAGGGGAGATGTCTGCATTGACGGAGTTTGTGAGGTACATAGGATGTTGTGTGTGTGTGTGTGTGTGTGTGTGCACTGAAACATATCTCATTGCGTAAAGAAAATTTGCATCCAGACTTTTTTTTTCCCCCAGTGTGAGATACAGAAAGTTTCAGAAGCTTTCGAAATTATTCAGGCCTCTTTACATTCTGCACAAATTATGTGCTGTAGATTTAATTTAGTCATTTATGTCCATCAATTTACAGCAATTAACACATATTAACAAAGTGAAAACATGTTAGAAATTTTGGCAAATTTATTAAAAATCTAAAACGCTGAGTACAACATTTACAAAAGTATTCAGACTCTTTGCTGTGGCACTCAACTTTGTGGTCCGGTGGATCCTCTTTGCTTAAATTATGCATGGAAGTGATGGACATAGTTTAGAAAGACACACACCTGTGTATATAAGAGCCCACATTTCACACTGGATGTCAGGTCAAACAGCAAGCCTAGAAGTCCAAGGGACAGTGATAAAATTTTGTGCTGAGGCACAGATCAGGGCAAGGGCATTAAACCATTTCTAAAGCTTTGAGTGTGAGATGGAAGTTTGGATCCACCAGGACTCTTCCTCGACTTGGACGTCCGACCAAATTGAGTAACCAGGCAAGGAGGGCCTATGGAGGTGCCCGAGAACCCACCAGTCACTCTAACAGCTTCAGAAGTCCTCTGTAGAGAAGGGAGAACCTGCTGGATCGACCAACTCAGCAGCACCCCATCAATCAGACCTTTATGGTCGAGCAGCTAGACGGACAACCCGCTTTGAGTAAAAGGCAAATGGCAGTCTGCTTGGACTTTGCCAAACGGTATTTAAAGGACTCAGACAATATGGGGAAACCGGTTCTCTGGTCTGATTAAAAAAACAAAAAGCATCAGGCTATGGAGGGGGGGGGGTTCTCAGTGGCAGGGACAGGGAGACTGGTCAGAATTGAAGAAAGGATGAATGCAGCCAAATACAGAGCGGCCCTTTAAGAAGACCTGCTCCAGAGTGCAAACATCCTCAGACTGGGGCACTGGTTCACCTTTCACTAAAACAATGACCCAAAGCACACAGCCAAGACAACACTGGAGTGTCTGACAAGTCTCTGACTGTCCTTGAGTGGTTCAGCCAAAGCCCAGACTCTGATGGAGCTTCAGAGGGTCTGCCAGGAAGAATGGGATAATGTGGCCAAATTTAGATGTGCAAAGTTTGTAGGTCTGGATTCTTACGTAAAGGAGAGATGAGTTTTTGGATCTTAATAAATTTGCATAAATTTCTAAAAATACAGCTGTGTCCAAAAGTCTTGGACGTTTCCCCTTGTCTTTATGGGTCATTGAGTTTAGATGGAGCAAACATCAACAATGCAATAAAGAGTGCAAAGAGCAAAGAGAAAGAAAGACACAAGACGGTGTTTTCTCTTCAACACATCAACTGTTATATCTCTTAAATCTAAAGCTTATTTGAAATGGAAAACAAAGGCAAACGTTTAAGTGCAAGAACCAATTCCTTGTTGTTGTATACTGTATTTATTTTACAGCGGTCGAGCGGTGTAAACCTTCCGTATCACTTCCAAAAAAAGAGAAGTAGTTAATAAGGTTAAACTGGGAATTAGTTTAGAACCTGTGCAGTTGTCATGTTGATGGCGGTGCTCGCTGTTATTCTTGCCAATTAGTCAGCTAAGAGCTTGTAGGAGGCATAGCGGCATAAGTAAGGAAAAGTAAGTTTTATGTGTGAATTTACTGCAGTGTGCTACAGTGAAACATGTGCAAGCAGGTGTTAAAATTGTAATGAGAGAATGAGAGTCTTCTTTACTTTACAGTTTACTCCATTTAATTGCAAAAGTAACACTGCACCTACCCACCACACTTATATTGTCCTTATAATCCAGGTCCTTGTTGGGAGTAATAAGGTGAAACACCAGATGTAAACACAGATGTAGTTAAAGTTACCTCCTTATTGTCATAATATATATTTTTAGAAAATAACTGATCATACAGTTTATTCGTATTTACATCCTGTACATTGCAGCACTGTTGGCATGTGTGTTTTTTGTGTGAGTGTAGGCAGTGGGCTGCGACAAGATTCTGGGTTCCAAAGTCTCTCTGGACGCCTGCGGAGTCTGTAAAGGAAACAACTCCACTTGCAAGTTCTTCAAGGGCCAATACGGCCTTCAACACAGGGCCAATGGTAATCTTGTCTTTGTCTTTGTTTGTAGCGTGTCTGTATGTCTCAAGTAGCATGCACTGGGTTTTCCTTCAAGACAAAGGGAGATGTTAAGTGGTCAAACAAGGACAAGAAATAAAACCATGTAGGCACTTCATAATGGTCTGATTCTCTACATGCATGGGCAGTAACACACATATACCAGAGATAAAGTTGATGTAAAGCAGGGGTGATGCTGTGTGTGTGTGTGTGCATGGGTAACAGGAGTGTGTGATGAAACTCACTTACTTCTTTTTTCCCCCAGAGTATTACTCTATGGTAACGGTCCCAGCAGGGGCACGAAGCATTCGTGTTCAGGAAGTGGAGGTCTCCACCAGCTACCTGGCCGTCCGCTCCCTGAAGAGGAAGTACTACCTGACCGGGGACTGGACAGTGGACTGGCCGGGAAAGTTCCACTTTGGTGGAACCGTGTTCGACTACCAGCGCTCTTTCAACAAGCCGGAGAGCCTGTATGCCGCTGGACCTACTAATGAGACGCTAGTGTTTGAAGTAAGCCGCCGCTGCTGGGTGACGTCCGTTTGTGGCAATTGACAGTGACAGGGTCCCCCCCTCTTTTTTTTTTTTTTAAATGTCTGAACACGACAAGGCTTAGATGAAAAAAGAAGTTTGGGTTGCAGGGAGAACAGGGGTGGTTGTAGCTGTCTGCAGTGCTTCTATGGGGAATTAATTGTGTTGGGTGATTGGTTACGTCAGGCATGATGTGCAGATGAGTGGGTGGTGTGGAAGGCATTAGAAAGAAACTAGGGCTTTTGGAGTTTCACTGTGGTGACCAGCACCACAGTTTGTCTGAGTTCTGTGCAGGGCTCTCCTCTTTGTGAGCGATGGAGGGAAAGAAGGAGAATATAAGGGTAAACAGTTTAACAGTTTAAATTACTGGCTCACCCAGAACATAATGTCAGTAGTTTTTTTTTTTAGCAGAGAGTAGGTCTACTGTCTACATACTGCACAAGCATCACAATCATCAAATGTGGGCTGTCGACCGCAGTCACTGTTTCTATTGAAACACGAGCCGATTGATACCAAATCAGAATCAGCCGGGCCTGCTCAGCATTTTTATACATGCCACGGAGCATGACTGAATGTTAAATGCTTAATAGTGCACCTGTGTGGAAGCATCTGCGATCGTTATATTTCTCATTTATTCAGGGTTTTCCTTTAGTTTTTCACCCGTCTTTATCTCAAAACCTGGGCAAATAAATCAGCATGAGCAGATACCAGTAAGGGTAAGTGAGAAAATGTGTTTTCTTTTTATTTGCTTTAACCGACCCTTTAAACATCACTGGAATGACAGGCAGAATAATCACACATCAGAGAGAGAGAGAGAGAGAGCGAGAGAGAGAGAGAGAGAGAGAGAGAGATGTGACACAATTGGTCTAAATCAGCCTTTGGGCCACTTTCATTTTTCAGATCAGTCTCACATGGCAGAGGCTTGCCCCTTGTTTATAAGCGCTACAGTTTTCTTGGTACTGCCGGCTCCAGTGTAAACACAATCACGTGTTTGTCCATGTACACACATTCAAAGCCATGGATGTGCCCCCCACCCCTCCCGGCCACTGACCTCAAAAGTGCTTTGTTCCAGCCATGTGATTTGAAGCTAATAGAGTGAATAAAATCCCTAAGTCAACTGCCCTTTAGAGGCAGGGATGAAAAGTATAAAATCAGATGGTTGCCTAGAGTGAGATGCACTGCATAGTACAGGAGGTGATTTATGAGCTGATGGTACATTTTTTTGCCCGACGTTCGTAATCAGTGGTGTGTCAGAAACCAAAGCTCCGAGGGTAGGGCGAGTCTTTACCCGTCCTGAAGGCAGCAGCAGAATGTGATGCTGGACAGGCGTATCCTCCTCACAGCAAAACTAATATTTGACAAGTGGCCGAGTCGTTTCTCCTCATGACTCTGTAGGTTTAAGTGAACGGTGGAGGGGGTTGTGCGGGACGTTCTTCCCACATAACTTTGTCAGCGAAAGCATTTATTTTCTCCTGAACTCTGAACCCTAGCTGTGGAAACAGAAGTGAAAACCAGGTGAAGAGTAGACATTTGTTTTTTTTTTCCTCCTCCATCATGCTTGAAGTGATAGTCATGTGAAAGCTAGTCTCTCCTCAGTCCCTAGTCCCCTGAAATACTGCAGTTGAAGCAGGAATGATTGGCCTGTAAATCCAGCAGGAATACCAGTGTGATATTTCCGAAGTGCTTGTCTGGTCACTCGTTTGACCATCAGGAAATGTCTGAGTGTTTTTTGTAGCTATTTTAGAAAAGAAGCCTCTGTTTGTGGGCAGTTTAGTGGATCTGCTGTAGTAGTTGGCATTTGAGCGGCCCATTCTTGTTTTCTTGTGCAAGATGGATAGATTTCATTTTTTTTTCTCAGAAACTTTTGGAATAATTTCTGCATCCTGCGATGCGACAATCTTCCTTTCACTGAAAATTGGTATTATATAGCGATAATACCGGTTAACAGTTTTATTTACAACCTCCATTTTATTTAGCCATGCTGGTGACATGGCTGCATGGATGGGAATGTCTGTCTGTCTCTCCACCATTAAATTTCAGACAAACATTCATGGTGCCCAGGGGGTGAACATGATGATCCCCAGACTTTTCCTGTAGTGCCACCAGCAGGTCACTTATCAAAAAAATACCTCAGCATATCCTCGGCTCCCAGACGAAGCCGCAATATTTTTGTCTATGACCAAATATCTGCAAAACTAGTGAGATTCCCATCAGCCTCAGCTGTACTTTGTTTTTCGGGATCAAATCTTTAAATGCTAAAACACTAAATTAAAGGAGCTATTTGTAAGTTTTGCTATTGCTACATAGGAAACTTACAAATAGCCCCTTTTAAGATGGTGAACATTATACTTGCTTGTGTTAGCATAGTAGCGAGTATTTAGCTCAAAGCTTCTCTGTGCCTTGGTTCTGCCTCACAGAGCTTCTAGCGTGGCTACAGACTAGACTCTTACTCTTGTACTTTTGGCCTTTGCTGCTTTTGGTAATGAATGAGGAACATGGCAGTGTCGCTAAAAAGAAGTCTGGGGAAAAAAACACATGCAGTGCTTGCTGTGGTATTCGTGTGCAATGGGGGGATTATTATCGACACTAAACAAAGTGGTTTGGATGATCTATTGATAATCTTAATTGCTGGCTTGTAGACAACCTTTGTCGTTCTCTCCTCGAGTACAGTGTTATCATGATGATAGAAACAATGGCCCAGACTACACACATAAATCCCAAGTTATAATAGGGATAAATTATCCTTCAAAGAATGGACTAAATCTCACAGTGCCCCTGCTGCTTGTCTGTGTGTCTCAGTCATACATCTGTCCAGCAGAGAACTCAGCTGTAGCACGCTGCTGATCTGCAGATGACACGACCATAATCTCTATAAGTATGTCCTGTAATTACAAAAAGGAGAAAGAGGTTGATAGAAAGAGAAGGATAGAAAGAGAGGGGGTGGCGGGTGAGATTAAAAGATTAAGAATTCTGCAATTGAACTCTTTGGATGTGAGAAGTTAAGGTCAGGGCACTAGGACTTTGACTGCAAATGAAAAGAGCCAAATGAAGGAAAGCGAGTCGGGTTTTTTTTTTTTTTTTCACTGCTGATCTTCATCTGTTTCACACATTCTACTTAACTGGCTCTGTCACAGAAAAACTGAGAGAGTGCAATGGGGGAGGGTGTACGCACCGATCACTCCCAGACCCTTACTCAGCTTGAAACACTCAAAGAAAAACAAATGTTGAGGAGTGTGAGCGTAAACTGTGACAAGGTGTTCACATCTGCACAGCTGCTCTGCTGTTAGGGAGGAGGAAGGATGGGGAATGGGAGTAGTTAACAAGAGCAGGAGGGAACAGATATAACATATGGCTGCCTCTGGAGGTCTCAGTGGATACCAACGAGGATTATTCCGCCTGCATTGATGTTCTTGTGGTACAGCGAGGCGAGGTAACGCCAGTTCAGGGCAAAGCATTGTGGATCCGCAAGTGAGATTGACATCTGTGTCTGCTACATTGTAATTCATCATCATCTCATCTGACTTGATGAGTGCTGTGGTGGCTTGGGTGTGAAAACCGAGACACTCTGCGGTCAGATCTTGGAGTGTGGGAAGACTCACACAACTTAAACTTGAAAGGCTTCTCATGCTCAACTTCTCTTCAGGAAATATTTGTTTCTTTTAATAAATGGGATTTCTCTTTGAGTCTAAAGAACAAGAGTCGATACTTGTAACCGTACTACAAAATAAAAGTAATTCAGGAGATGCAAACATTCGCCATCATTGAACATTTCTCCCAACTAATGCTACACTACTATGTTTAGTTCTTTTGCTCCTGACATTCACACTACTCCAGATTTTTAAAACAGAGACGTTTGGAAATGCTGCTGACCCCGTTTTAGTTTGAAAACTCCAGGGTTGTAGAGTGGATGGACAGAAATGGAGACCTTTGGGTAGGATGACATGGACACCCACGGTCACTCCCTGATTGGGTCTTATCAATCAAGACTACCACTGGTGAATTACAAGCATCACTGACCTTGTTGACTTTGCTAGCAGCTGCTGCACAGTTAAATTCTGCATTTAAAGACTACAACTGCCTTCTAGCCCTCTAACTAACCAACTGCAGAATAGACAGTCTGCTTCCTGTTTACACCGGCATGTGCATGCTCAGTGTACTTGAATGGTCATGTGATATGCGTTGTCAGGTGTGATAGTATGGACAGAGATTATTTGTGCCACGGAGCTAAAACAGTTGACTGTACGGAGTGGTTTTCATTTTAAAGCACAGTTTAAAACACAGTTCAAAATGAAAATGTTGTGGTGTGGACGCAGCCTTAGAGCCAATGAAAGGAGAATATTTAGCATAGTTTACATCTATTTCACTACCATGTTAGAACATGTGGAAAAATAAACTTTTAATGCGTTTTAACTTGCAAAAATGGAAACCAGGTTTTGTGTTTGCATGGACATTTATGAAATCAGGTAACAACCAGAGGTGAAGTTTATTCAAATTATTAAACTGCATGTAAACGTACTATCTTCCAACACTTCCTACTGACAGAGTTAAGGCTCATTTATTTGCTGTCTTTAGAGCTTAGGTAGATTTTTATGTGTTGTGACTAATATCAAGACAGTATTTTGGTGCTGCTGTTAGTCTGCTTTTACTACCAAGGCGTCACAAGGCCAATGTGAGCTCTGTCTGCAAAGTGGGAGCAAGCATGAAGTCACTGTCGATGTTGTGACTTATTGCAGGACGCTGTGGGCTTTTGGTTTGCAGTATGGATAGGTAGGATGTTTTTCTTTGTTCTTATTGGTTTTGGTGTTCAGTAGTCAGCTGGGGATGAGCTTTGGCTGCAATTGTCCCAGACTGAGGAAGTGGAGAGGAGACAGGGTTGGACATGTCTAAAATTATTGTTTGAAAGTTAGTGTCAGTACTGGCAGACAATGTTAACGCTGTGGTTGGTTGGGTTTATTCAACATTGCGGATGGCTTAGGAAAGAGAGATCAGTCATTTAGAAAGATTCAATGATGTGTACGTCCTCTATTAAAGCGACTGCTGAGTGTTTTTTTTATAACTGTTGGTTCACATCTTGGGAGGTTGTTTGGTAAAGGAGCAGGAATGTTGGTAAGAATTGGTTTGCTTGGATAAGCATAAAGTCCTGGCGTGGTTAGCAGTGGCAGTTGTGTCATGGCGGTGGGTTGGGGTTTGGTTGGGGTGGGTGGCATCAGCAAAGGAAGTGTGGGTGTTAAAGTGTGGCTGGATGTTGCAGGTTGGTACACGCCACAATTTCATCATTTTAGACCAGACACCCCCAAGTTTAAAGGAGACATTGTCTGAAACACTGAGTTTGCAAACATTTAACCATGGTTTGACTTATGGCTTATGGCCTTGAATGTGTTAGTAACATGGCTGAGGTGAAGAAATGCAGCCTTTTATTGACTCTATGAATGTCTGCATTTGGTGTTGAGGCATTTTAGACATACACTTGTAGTTTTGAGGTTCACTGTGGAGATTTTCTCTTCTAGTAATACTATGGAGAAATAACTTTATGAGTGGGTCCCTGTTTTGTTAGCATCATGCACATGCACAAACATAATGTTCCACTGATGGACAATTGGTGGCAGTAAACGCAGCAAGAATTGTAGCAACATGCCAACGAAAGCACTGAAGAAGAAGACTGGAAGTTAGCAAATATTTAATTATAGAATATTTAAAAATCAGTTTCACAAATACTTTAAGAATAAGGAAATGTGTTCCACTATGTTTTAGACCTTGAACATGCTTTTTCTATATAAAATAAAGGACAGTGCATCATCAGCCGGTGCAAGTGATTGATAGTGTGAACAAAATCAAAAGCAAACCTGTTTCTGCAGTTGGACTCCTTTACTTTCAGATTTACATAAAAATTCTCTCATCGGTTTACAGCAAGTTTGAGCATGCAAGCCTCATTCAGTTACATTCAAGATTGTGCTGAGTTTTGAATGGCACCCCTACAGGGAACACATAACACAAGCAGACAAACTTCTTTTAGTGCAGGGATCTTAAAAGTCTGACACTGTGGGCCCTGAAACCTGTTTTTGTTTCCATTATATTTTTGTTTCCATTATACCAAATTAGCTTTTAGCAGCTCTTGTTTGCCACTATCACTGAATTAAAAAAGATGACGTTTCCCAGGCAAGTTATGGAGTTACAAGGAGCATCTTGTCTCTATGATTTCTAAGAGATTATGATATGAGAAAGCCACATTTGGTGTATGGCTTCACGCAACTATTGTGGGTGAGCGGGCCAAACTACAATAACTAACTTCCTGTTGTTTTTAGAGCACTGGCATGCACCTGTCCCTTTCACCTCATATATCTCCCTCTGGGGAGTCATACCTCACGGTTCGAACCCTCTGCTTTAGCGGAATATGACATGTAAACAGCCGTGCCTGCGCCTGTCACAGTATCTTCATATGTCTACACCGTGTCACATTGATTTGTCCTTCCAGCTGTGCATAAGTCTGCGCACGCTGTACCTCCATATGCAGATGTGTTTCTGACATTAGACAGCTCCTCGCTCCTCTCCAGATAAACATCTCTCTTTTTGCCTCATGCCTGGCACGGGGCCGACTGCGCACATGGAACAGTTAACAAACAGCACGAGGGGATTGGTCCAGTCAGTGGAAGCACCCCAGGACTGTTGAATGTGGACCGAACCCAGGAGGTGCTTGGCTTTCTAAGTTGGATGGTTGATGGTAGATTCCTTTGTACTTCAGGATATACCCCAAAGAAAATACACTTGTCAAAGCTCATTATTGCAGATACTGATAGACTGGTATGTTTGTCAGACATTGGAATGGATGTTGACAGTTGGACTTAATAAGATTTGCCAAATGGATTGAGGATTTATAACCACCCAACCTGAACTAAAGTGAGGTGGGCTGTGAATGAGACATAGCTATACTGAAGATAATCCAGCGCAGTGTTTTGAAATGGTTTAAAATGACACACTATGTAAATGCACCTCAACCAAAATTCTTCACCATGGCAGTTGAATCCTCACGGGGTTGTTTTAATGATAGCCTGATGCTTCTCCTGTAATGGGTATGTCTGCTGTCATTCATCCGTTAGTCCAAATAAACCTGCTGAACAGAAAAGGTAACTCAGAATCACCAGCCAGTATAAAGGATGTGGTGAAAAGAAGCAAACTCTCAAAAGAAAATGGAAATTGTCCCTCGTTTGTTCATTGTACTGTCCAAATAAAATGACCTTATAATAGTGTGGTCAGCCAGTTTGGACTAGAGAGGGAACAAAGCACTCCTTAATGTTTCTTCAGCCTTCTGGTTAGTGGGTAGTAGATCTGACGGCTCACTGGGAGCTGAACAGCTGAATTAGGCTGCCACGTTGTCAGTGGTCTTACCTTTAGTCCATAACAGACATTTAGTTTCTGCTCTTCTTTCATTGCACGTCTTCATTTTTGTTTATATGGTGTAGACATACTGTATAGATTCATGGAGCGCTGCCAATTACAGATGGGCTCAGATAGAAGGTATACATTATACTGTATGTGGGGGAAGAGTTTTTATTATCCAGAATTTAGGGAATATGTGGTTATAGAGCTGAAATGGTCACTTATTTAATGCCAAACATTTGCTCAAATGTGAAAATGTGCTGTTTTTCTGAGTTTAATATAATTTTAAATATCTTTTAGTTTAGTGTCAGTCAGCCAGGATTTGAATATGCCCTGTTATTATTTTCATGAATAAAATAAAACAATAGATTGACTGTGGGATATAATGTGTGCAAGAAGAAAGGAAGGAAGGAAACAAGATCTGTAGATCAACCATTTTTACTCATATTTTAATATTTCATGAAAACATTATTCGGAGGATTTACCTACGGTCAGTTTTATACATTGTATCGACAGCTGCAACATAATATATTCATTTAATGTTGTAATGATTTCCCCGATAACATTATAGCACAACTGTAGCATAAAAGCAATGTCAGACCTGGATTTTGTGGCGACTGCAATGGTTTTCTCCATGAATGTCTGCAGCACTGAACATGCAACTACATCACATCAGATTTTCTAATAGCAATAACCACACAGTTTTTTTGGGCTAAGTCTAAAAGCTATTTTGCACAATGCCGCTACATGGCAAAAACAAACAAACTGACATGGCTGACAGAAATACAGCGTTGTGTTTGATGCTATATTCCAGTCAAGCATACTTTTCGTAGCATTTAGATGAGGAACATCTACTCTCACCTGTTCAATGAGAGTAATTTAGGCTGACATGGAAGTTGGTGACAGTTCAAGGGGCATCTGGAGTGGTAAACGTGGGGTTAGAAGATCCTGAAAGTCCTGGGACCATGACTGGAGCGGTTGATTTTTGGTTAGAGAAGCTGGACGATGGAGCTGCATTCCCCGGCCTTGGCGTCGAGTTTTCTCGAGACGTCTCTTTTCTGACTGACCTTCATCTTTTTTCTTGATGCCTGGCCTCTTAAAAAACTTGTACTGAGAGCTTTGTTTTGACATCTTTACATTTTTTTAATCAAATCTCCTGACCTAATGCTAGCTGTGCCAGTGCCACCCAGTGCTCATTTGAACTTTGACCATGTGATTACATGTGATGGGAAGTCTCTCTGTCCATATGTTTTTTATTCGCAGCTAATTCATGTTTTTTATATGATTATGGTGGGTGTGCCAGCTTTAGATTTAGATGGCAGAGGCTCATCTGGGCACACCTGTGGCTGTGCGGGTGCTTTACAGTATATACTAGTGGCCTGGAGATTTTTGGGGGAGGAAGATTGCTGGTTTAACTCCCTAGAGTAGCCAGGAAAAAAGTGGTTGCAGTGGATGACTCCCAATGTAATGTGAACATCTGAAAACCAATGTGATGCTTTCCGTGGCTAAATAAAGGTTAAAAGACAAACTACATCCACACAAGTGATACCTTTCTGACTGACTGTGTTCTTGCCTGACAGATCCTCCTGCAGGGAAAGAACCCGGGTGTGGTGTGGGAGTACACCCTGCCTCGCACTGAGAGGAAACCTGACTACAGCTGGGGTGTGGTGCGCTCGGACTGCTCCGCTCCCTGTGCTGGAGGTGAGGCTGTGTGTGTTTGTGTTTGAATGTGGGCCAGTACATGTGCTCTGTGTATGTTCATGTGTTGTGTACATTAATTGAACTTTTGCTTAACCCGTCCTTTGAGCAGTTATGCCCCACTTATAGGTTAGCAAAAGTAACTAGGCACAGCAGGCCTGTAAAGCTTTGGGTTTCTCCACATGTTGAAACTGTGTGCATGAGGCTGTAGTAAGAGCAATCCTTTGCTTTCAAAGAGTTCTGAGGGTTGTCCTTTTTCCTAGCGTTTGAATGGAATAGAAACAGTGTGTTTATCTCCTCCAACATAAGCTGCATTCGTTAGCAAGTCCAGCTAGCTGCTCTTTCTATTGGGGACATCTACGCTCAAACAACCTCAGTGTTACTTCAGATAGAGTTACAATTGCCAAACACATTTTATATTTTATTAGAATATTAGCTTGTGCAAAATGTGCACTGCTATCCACATTTTTAAACAACATTTTGTGTGGAGACGTGCATTTCTGTCTGTCTTCGAGTGTGGCCATTTCAACCAGGTATAAACACTTGACAGCCGACGTGGTTAGACAGCATGTCTAATTCTGATGGAACATTAACCGGCTCTTAACCTCAGTCTTTCAGCATGATATCATGTATCATGCATATTTAACATCCCCTTTTACAAGATTCTTGTTTTGAAACAAGTCAGTTAGAAACATTAAAAAGTCAGACAGAGAAAGCCTTTTCAAGTCATGGCACATAATTGCTTAAGTAGTTAGCTTGTTACAGCTGATCAAATCTGCCAGTGAACTTCTCTAAAAGGTAAAACTGAAAGTTGACAGTGCTTTTGTTTATCTCCATCTGAAGCCCATTGTTTCAAAAACTATTAAGAATTTAGAGTGGCTGATATGCCACAGTATTTGTTAACTGCATATGTGCTGTGTGAGAACAGAAAGTTTGACAGGCACAGCAGCGGTAGCTAAGGAGGATGGGGCTTAACAAATGGTCAAATGTCCCCAAGGGAGTGATTTTATCTGTATATTTGTGTGTGTTTTTGTATATGTCTCTATATGTGTGTGTGTGTGTGTGTGTGTGTGTATGTATGTGTGTGTGTTTATCTGTTTTTGTATTCTGTACAATTCCCCTTTGCTACTGTGTGGTCCAGGAAGTGTGTTAAGGCTAATGAAAAGCACCTTTGTCACTTGAGAAGTTCAGATTCTCTTGGTCCCAAAAGACTCTCAGTAACCCCCTGCTCACTTGTCAGTGAATGGATGTGTGTGTGTGTGTGTGTGTGTGTGTGTGTGTGTGTGTGTGTGTGTGTGTGTGTGTGTGTGTGTGTGTGTGTGTGTGTTCTAGCTCGTCTCCAAAGGCAGCAACAGTCATCAGGCATGCAGGCAGACATACTGACTTAACCCAGACATCTTGATCTACGACAGTTAAAAAATGTAACTGAAGTAGTCAAATCACCCGCAGGAACTACATCAACACTCTTTCTCTCTCTCTTTTTATTTTCCATGTTTCCATCAGGTCGTATCTCGACCAAGGCTATCTGTTTGCAGGACCAGAAGGTTCAGGTCAACTCCACCATGTGTAATCCCCTCACCAGACCGACGCTGGGCTCCCATCTCTGCAACACACAGCCCTGCCCTGCATAGTAAGTGCTGCTGCGTGTGTGTGTGGGTCAGGTGGCATGTGTGTTTCTGTTGCCAAATTTTCAGGAACCTTTGGTGCTGTCTTTATTACAGGCACACACACACACACACACGCGCGCGCACACACACACAGACGCTGTGGTTGAGCAGTGTGGAGGTTGCCTGTGGTCCATTTACTGTGGCCAGCCACCACTCTGTTCTCCGTGCTCCTCTCTTCTCTGTTCACTCTCTAATTTTTCTTTTTTTCTTTCCATTTTCCTTTTTGAGAAAACACAAGAAAGCACTCTCTGTCCACTGTGCTGTTGAGTCAGTCTGTACTTATTGCATTGCAGTGTTTTCTCTGCATGTCCATCTGTAGAGTGAGTGTTGAAGGGATTTTAATCACACAGTCGTGACAGAATCGTGCAGTGTTTGATTTCTTGCCTTCATGTTTGTGATGTCCATCTTTGTTCTACTGCCTGGTGAGAAGAGGCTCCTGGTGGATGGCAAGCAGACCTTTTAGTTTAATCTGAACTCTCTCAGGCTGGCAAGTCTTAACAAGCCTTAACCAGTTTTAACTAGTAGATGAACGCAGACCTAATGGTTTAAAACATTATAATATTTTATTATTTCTCACTACAGTCAAGGACACTTATTTTAAGCACACAGTTCTGGATTTAGATGATGTTAAAAAACAGGGTTGTAGCCCCCAGTGAAGTCACAGTGTCATGTCCTCTGTTGTATTTCTGGGAATCTGAGTGGTTAAATGACATGAAAAGTTTACACTCTGTGATTATACACATGTTGGATGTGTAATCACAGAGTGTTGGGATTTTAAGGCTGATGTATAAAGCAAAAATTTACAGAAAACAAATGTGAACAGTTAAAGGAGCTATTTGTACGCCATGGAAAGCAACACCAATGTTAACTCTTGTCTCGATCACGACTTTTCTTCTATTGAAATTAGCATACTAACCAGCCAGCCCATTTTGTCACTCATAGCCACTTACTGTAGCCTCCAATCTGCCCTGAAGACATAACGCTGCTCATGTATTATAAAGACGATAATGGCTGAAGCTCTTGTCAAGTTACACCTCCACCTACACCTGACAAGAAACCATGTTCAGCGGAAGAGAAAACTTACAAATAGTGTCCTTAAGTAAATAAATAAAATGTGAAATTTGTGCCTCTAAGTGGGAATCATTAGCTGCTGATGCACTTTGTGCTTATTGCTAATTAGCAAATGTTAGCATGCTAACGTGTACAACTATGATGTGAACACAACAAACTTCACTGTTAGCGCGTCAGCATGCTAACATTAGTATTTAGTTCAAAACACTGCAGTGGCTAAGTACAGCTTCACAGAGCTGCTAGCATGGCTGTAGACTCTTAGCTAAATACCTCGACAAGTTTCCAGAGTTCGGTTTGTGGCTGGTCAAACATTTCTCAGGTGGGTGGGGTTCTGTTTTGGAATTTGTAGTTTTGACCTCAGTATTTCTAAAATCCCTGGCTGCAGCCCTGTCAGAAACATCTTATTTCAGTCTTATCCCCAGACAGAAAGTTCTACCAACTGGTTGACTGTTTTTGTCATGAAGTAAATACAGGATGATATTTCCAAGTCTGCAGTGGAATTTTTACTTTAGCGAACACTTGAGAATGAGAGAAAGAAAAAAAACAAAGACATAACTGGAGGGAACAAGGGAGACATCAAAGGCGTTGTTCCTTTCTGTGCATAGCATATATTTCTCATATATTCTCAGCCCAAAGCTTCTGCCCATGTTCTATCTCAGCTGCATAGACATTGTACTTAATGGCATGCATTTTTAAAGGAATCTGAGCATTCGGGGGCCAGTGCAGCAAGCAAAGGAGGAAACCAGGCTTAAGTGCAGTGGAGTAACACGTTGCAACAGCACTGAATAAATGGCTTCTCTCCTATGTAGGCCTTTGGCTGAGGGAACTGGAGCTAGCTTGATTTACTGCGCTGCTCCAAAGAACGGGCAGGGAACCGTGTCTTGGGTTCAGTGAGAGTGTACACACATACACACAAATGCACGCACACACACACACACACACACACACACACACACACAGGGCAGCATGCACGATTACAGTTCATATGCATACACATTTTCCAAATGTATGATGCTGAAATAATGTATTATGGATCCAAACCATGAGGTAAAAATAGAAATACAAGCTGCTTGTGTTTGATGTTAATGATGTTGTCATTTTGTCCACCATCAGCAGTGCAACTAGTCCAGACTGAACTTTCTCCTGTGTCAGGGGTTTGAACAAGCCAGACAACTATCGGTTACACCTCCAACATACAGCCTCTGTTTCTCACCAAGTTTCCCACCACCCGAGAGGGCATTTCCTGCCCCTAATCTCAGGCATACCATTTCTCTTATCTTGGCGAAAGGTATTAAACAGCCGTGTTGCGTGTCCTGACCTCCCCCCTTTGTTTGAGTGAAGAAAAGTGGTATAGCCCAGATAAATAGCATCAGTGCATGTTGTCCATCCAGGGAAAATAAAGCAGTGTTTGACACCCATGGATCTTATTATACAGTAGTTGACACCATTTCTCAGCTGGTTGTGTGTACGAGCCAATTTATGGGTGCTGCACAGGAAGACAGTTGATTTGAGTGAGCAGCATGAAAGCTTTAATGACTACATCAAGACCTCCATGATGTATGGGCACACATTCAAGGGCCCAGCAGAGAAAAGAAAAATTGACAATGAGGTGGAATGCATGTGCGCTCTGTGTTTGAGTGTAAGTGTGCCTGACAGGAAAAGGAATGTAAAAGTGCCTGCTTATCTCTGCGGTGTGTATCTCGGGTGCTGACAGGCCTATCCATGTTTTATTGTGCAGAGACGGCTGGATTCCCACGGGGCAGAGCCAGTCTAGCCATGCAAAACTCCCCCTCTCCACACCCTCGCCCCTTCACTCCCATCTACCCCCTTTTGCTTTAGACCCATTTTAAACCTTCACTCCCCGTATGGGTGTCGAGGAAAACAAGTATTCTAGACTGTGGTGTTGTAGCAATTTCTGAACATAAAAGGGGGGATGCATGAAGACATTAGTTCAATCTTCCAGCCCAGCTTGCAGTCAGGAAGAGATGCACTCATATCTCATAGACATTTGTGTCCTGCCTTGCTTTGTCCCAGCCCCCCATCCCCAGCTCGTACTACCTCTCCATCTTCTCTTCCTCTGTAGTTCCATCTCTGCTGTTTGAAGTTATTTTGCTCTTTCTCTTGGCAGAGGCCATCTGCAGACTCACTTACCACAGGTTGGGGATTTCTCCGTGTGTATCACGCAGCAGCAGCATATGTAGACAAATCAAAGTGAGGCGCGTTGTACCTGTGCCAGAGAATATGTGCAGAAAAAAAGAGACAAAAGATGTACGCACAAGATGCTGAGAGCCTGGATTTATCAAACCTGTAAGAATTAGACTGAAGAATGCTCTACAGAGCCAACATTCAAGTAAAAAAAGAGAAGAATAAGATACATACTTACAGAACAGTGCAAGAGTAACATTTAAGAGCTGCTCTGAAATGAGTAATCACATGTGTGCTCAGAGCAGGAAGAGCCAGTCAGAGACAAAAAATATGTGGTAAACAAAGCAACAATTAACATCTGAAATTAACAGTTAACATCTTTGGAATATATTAATATACAAATAGGGATAGAATAATGGGATGTTTTCTAAATTGGAAACAAATAGATAACCAAACTGGAGGAGGAAAGTAATTGTGCTGCTGGTGGATGAGGTTAGAGAAAGCATTAAGAACCACATTGACAATAGCAGGCAATGAAAATGCACACAAATTGGTTGCAAATCAAAACAAAGTTTGCTTTATTCTTGTTGTTTGCACAAAGTCAAAAAAATGATTAAAAAAAAAAAAAACATGCAACATTTTAGCAAATATGTGTTTGGAGCCAACAGCATGTTACCTATGTTACTTTGGATGACATATTGCTGCGTATCATGTCGTAGACATTGTGTTCTCAGCCTTGTTTGTGTACTGCAATCTTCTGGAATTTGCTCTTAACCTTAAGAGACCACTCGGGCTCTGTTATACTGTATTTTAAAGTCAACAATAGTAATAGTAATAGTAGTAGTTTTTTATTCTTAGTTTGCTAGTAGGACTAAATGTGAAGGATTTTTATCCTTCACTGAAGTCCAACATTTCCCTTTTATCCGTTTGATAAACACTGGTCCACATTTAGATTTTGTAAAATTACCAGGCCTTTTTCACAGCAGACATGTTGAGTTGTCACCGTAGCAAAAGCACAGGTGTCACTAATAACATTCGCAATGGCTCAAGTCTCAACCCCACCTGCAGATTTGTCAGCAGGATTTGAAGGAGCCTTGGAAATGGGACAGCCTAGTCACGCCACTGTGACGCAATCGGTCTTCACATGCAGCCTCCGAACGATGCGGCCCCTGAATTGGGACACAGCTTTTGAACGAATGCAACAGCAGTACCAAGATCATGTAATACCAACATTGTAAAGAAGTAACAGAAAGGAATACAGACATCAGAGGCTGTAAGGACCATTGAATGACAAAATTAGATTGAAGGGCTGAGAAAGGAAAAAAATACACGGAGAGAGACAGAAGGGGTGTTTTTACAAGAAAGATGAGTACAGACGGGAAGTAGCCTACACCAAACCACACAAGTATAAAAATCTGAGTTTTACAAATTCATAGTCTCATAGAGTCCTGGTTAATATGGGTTTAGCAACCTGTTAAGCAGACGTAGTCATTTTGGTCACAACATGATGAACTTAGGAAAACCATTGGCTTTCAATCAAGCTCAATATCAGGGTAAGAAAACCTGTTCATTCATTGGCAGTAGCTGGTCTGCAGCCATACAAGTACTAAAAATGCATGGGTGAGCTTTTCAGAACCTCCACTGCAGTAATGCACTCTGCTACCTCAAAATATGTCAGTTATTGAAACATTTCAGATACAAATTACAGCTAGGTCAGTGGTGGTTTGCAGCGAAGCAGAGTGGCACTTCAGCCACTTTTCCCCAATGATATATTGTTATTTATAAGCCAGGGAAAACAGAGGAAAAAAAAGCAAACAGTCCCCAAGCCAAAAATCCAAAACCAGCGCTTTCAGGTCCCAATGGTTCACATCTTTCCCATTTCCAAATTGCAGTTTAGTCCTGCTGCTTCATTTGTCTGCGGCATTTGAAAGAGAATGAAAGCATTTTTCTTCCCCTGGAGCAGGTCGGCGTCGTGGAGGAATGGTCTTTGCGGTGGCATGTCGTCTCAGAACTGGACTGAGCCATCTGCCCATCTCTCCGTGTCCCTCTTCTAAGCCTGCGGTTGTCAGACCACTCATTTGCTGTAATCTCCCCCTTTAGCGCCGATGCCAAGACAGAAGCTATTTTTGAAACAGCAGTAGGCTTTCATCAGTGGTGAAGCAAATTTCAAAGACACTTAGGAGAGGACATGGAGAGGCAAAAGCAGACTGGACTAAGAGGAAGGACATTAGAAATAAAATGAGAGAGGACAGGATAAAAGAAGAGTGGACACATAGAAAGAAGAATGAAAAAGACAGAGGAGAGGACAAAAAGAGAGAATTGAGGGATTGTGGACCAACATCTGCCTGTGGCCTCATTGTATGTTGTATATTGCGGTTGGCTCTGGAGACCTGGGAAAGCTCTTATGAAGAGTTGTATATACAATATGGTTTCCATATTTAGTTTCAGATACGAATGGTAAACAGAGAGATGGATGGATATGGATTTATATCTCGGCTTGTTTATTTTTTTTGTATTAACTTCCAATTTGGACATGACAAAGATCAAAATATTGTGAGTATTTTAAAAGCAGCAAGTCCATGTTTTAATCGATAAAAGAAAAGTAAGAAAAGCCCAACTAGGTCACTATTTGGAGCTTTTAACCACTTAATAATATATGGTCTTCTGATGTCTTTTGTGTGATAGCACTCACTGGTAATTTAGGGTGAAATTGTGTTTTTCTGTGTGTGTGTTTGGGCCCAAAATAAGTGCAGCAGATTAGAGCTGGGACCTGTGGTTGGCTGTCCTGATTAGGAGCTCCGTCACGTGGCTGGTATCCTGATGACAGAAGTTACTCTATAGCAGCTCCATATATCGTGCGCAAAACCCTGCATCACTTACATGTACTAATGCTATTGTTCACTGATAACTGACGCAAACCTTCCATCTCTCTCTCTCTCTCTCTCTCTCTCTCTCTCTCTCTCTCTCTCTCTCTTTCCCCCCAGCTGGGCAACAGGCGACTGGGGGCCTTGCAGTCGCTCGTGCGGAGGAGGCCAGCAGACGAGGACACTGCGCTGCCTGAGGAAGGTTACCTACCAGAGGGAAGAGGTGGTGGCACACTCCCTCTGCCCTGTCATTTCTCCAGCCCAACTCCAGCCCTGCCACACCCAGGCCTGCCCACCAGAGTGGAGCACCGGATCTTGGTCACAGGTGGGTTTATAGAAAACCTGCTAGCCACACTAGCAGCATGGCTCTTGGTCCATCTCTTTGGTCCAGATTGAAATATCTCAACAACTCTTCAATGGTTTGCTACTTATTTTCATGGTCCCCAGAGGATGAACCCTAATGACATTCGTGATCACCTGACTTTTCATCTAGTGCCAACAGCAGGTCAAATATTCTGTTGGATTGGCACAGGATTTAGTACAGACTGTCATGGCTCCTAGAGGAATGAATCTTAATGACCCCCCTGACTTCATTTCAAATTGTTCATTACTTATTTGACCAAATACCTGGAAAAATATCACAACATCTTCAGCTGTATTTTGTTTTGTGCCAATCAGTAGATGTTAGCATGCTAACAACATAAACTGAAACTGTGAATCTGGTAAACATCAGTTATTGTGCATTACATTAGCATTTAGCTCAAAGATCACTGTATGTAGTGTGGCTGTAGGCTCTTAGTCTTGTTATGATTTTCCTAATACCAAAGACTAATCTGGTTGCAGAGTTTGTGGAAACACTGTAAATCCACAGGAAGTGTAATATGTACATGTGTAGACTCTGAATTGTAGTCATGAGTATGCATATATTAAGTTATAAACACACTACCAAAAGTCAAGAGTTTGATTCTCCATGGATGCAGTGAGTTTCCTATGCAAGCTGTCAGATGTTTCACTCAAGCTAAAACAAACACTCTGCTGCCCTCTGTTGGACATGTGGAAAACACTAGGAAAAAAACGACTTGAATTTAATAATGACATCTGTGACATCTGCCAGTTAGTCTTCTATTTTGATTGCAATCATAAAGAAATTATTTTCTCTGTTCCCTTGTCCTTCTTGTTTAAAATTGTGGAGATTTAATTTATACAGTTTCTTCAGTTATTCAGATTGAATTCTACCTGCATCTAGTAACCAAATGAATCACAAAACAGACACACAAACGTGATCCTAAGTCATCATTGTCTGGTTTGCAATGAACTCCTCTTGGGTGATCAGTGCTTGTCAAATGTTCATTGGCAGGACTGAATCTATTTCCTGCATGGATAGTAACATTTGATTAGGCCACTTAATGCTGGTGGCTGTTAACCAAGTACGACTTGAAAGTTCTGACCTTTCCAGGGCTTTGGTTTGCTCATGTTGCTGTGTCCAGCACTAACAGCTTGGCAGCAGATCAGATAGTTTGTCAAACTTCCTGGAATGATTGGCTGCTGTGACCTGCACAGTCGGGACATTCGGCTGTCATTCAGCCATCAGTCTTTAGGACACTGTTGTTGTGCTCTTAGACTGTTTTGAAACACTGGTCCAGGTTCAGTCTGCGGTCATGCAGAGACAAGGCCAGTCTCCCTGAAAAAGATCAATCGGACCTTTCAGTGACAAAAGGACAACTGGGACGTGTGTGCGTGCGTGGTTGTGTATGAAAATGGATATGCACAGATGTGTATGTGTTTTATGTCTAATAAATTAATGTGATGTTGTTGCATTAAACTGCCCTGACGGCTGCGGTCGTCATTCCCAGCGGAGCAGTTTGACTCTGTTGTCCATCTCTCTGCAGTTCATGTGGAGTTTACAGCAGCACCGTCTGCTGTCGGTGGAGACGATGATGGGCTGGGGTCACATTCATATACGAGTTATTGGTTTACTGTATTTAATGTTAGGCCATAATGTGCTGTCATCAAACCAGTGACCTTCTGCTTGCTTGTCCAGTATGTGGTGAATTACAAATGCATTCACAACGCCAAGGATTTACTCTCTGTTCATATGGCCCAGTGCTGAAACATGATGAAAGCTGAAGGTTAAAACAATCATAAGAAAGTATCAGACTAAGTTAGTGTATGTGTACAGTCATTAAACCTTTGATTACTGATGATGCAGTCATCTGTGTCTCTGCCACACTGACTCCTTCTACTTCCTCTTTGTCCGCCCACAGTGCTCTAAGACCTGTGGCCGCGGACTGAGGAAGCGGAGTGTGTTTTGCAGTAGCACTGATCCTGGGGCCAAAGCGGTGGTGGTGCCCGACAGCATGTGCAGACAGCACCACAGACCCAAAGCCCAAGAGACCTGCGTCCTGCGGCGTTGCCCAAAAAACGAGAGGCTGCAGTGGATCCCCACTCCCTGGGGAGAGGTAGGAACAGAGAGACAGGAAGCTCAAGGAGCAGCAGCATCAGAAGTGAAACGTGTTGCTTTCAGTTTAACAATTTTGAGGAAGGATCCACCCTAAAGCTCTTGAAATGTGTCAAAAGAAATAGCTTTTGGTGATGCACCTTGTATTTGTGTGTCCATGTTGCTTGGTGCTCCGTGTGAACTGTAGAAGACATGACGTATAAACTGGCCTGGAAGTGGAGGAAAAAGGAATAACTGAAAATGGAGAATTCAATAAAGTGCAGTACATATTACACTAAATAACTTGTGTTATAAAGATAATAGAAACTGTACTTTTCACTGTACTGGAAGATTCACACACATCAAAGCAGCTAATGTTCACACACAATCAGTCAAATCAGTTGACAGCAATTTTAATAACTGATTAATCTTTTAATTAATTGAAATAAATTAATTGGATTTTCCTCTCTTACATTTTTTACTTTTGTTAAAGTAGATAGGCAGTTAAATATATTTTATCAGAAACTGAGAAAATCTTTTTATGTCATGGTGAATACTCTGCTGTGATTAGCTGACATTTTATAGACTAAATGACTAAATAACCCATTGAAAAAGAATGAACAGCTTCATCAGTAATTAAAATAATTGTTAGTATGCAGCCATCGGAGCACAATACTTAATATAGTAGACAGAACAAAAAGAAACTAAATGTCTGGCAAGAAATGATGCTGTCAGATTATTTACTCCATTAAGGACAAGATATGCTGATTTACTCCAAAGTTAATCAACATCCTAAAAACATTTTGTAATCATTTTTAAACCTGGAAAGTTACATTTCTGCCTCCATGTCAGTGACAGCTTTGGCTGGAGGCAATATATTTTTTTTAAATTTTGAACAAATGTTCTCTTGGACTCAAAGAGTTACTGTTTAGATTTTGATGATCAAAGGTCAAAGGTCACTTTGACCTCACAAAACATGCTTTTGGCCACAACTCAAGAGCTCAAATGCTAATTATGACAAAATTTAACACAAATGTCTAATAGGATAAAATGATGACGTGATGACATTTTATATCCAAAAGGTCAAAGGTCAGCTTCACTGTGACATCATAATGTTCTGCATTTATGATGAAAACACTTTTCTGGCCCATTATTCCAGACTTACAAACAGAAGGGGGGATTGTATCTGGCTGGTCATGAATGTTTGCAACTGTATCTCGCACCCTGATCATGCCGTTAATCATCTACTCACAAAGAGTATTATTTTAGCATCTATTCGAAAGAATGGTGAATTGGTTAAGTTTTCCTCTTTGTTCTCATACATGTAAACTACAGTAGTAGAGACCGGTAGGGGCAGGGGCCTGGGTTACACCCTAAATAGTTCATGTTGTTGAATATGAAATGAAAAAAGTCAGTTTAAGGATCAGGACTGCGGCCAAGAAAGACTAGAAAGATAAAACACAGTGAGGTTAGCTCCCAGAATACACTGGGATTTGGATTTTGAAACGGAGCCAGACACATCGACACACTCACACACGTACATATACACTGCATGCTCATCACATATAATGACTGAAAAATACTCAGTAGAGCTCTTAGTATTTTAGCTCTATTTCTAAAACTTTGTGGTGTCTGCTGTTATGGGATCCCCCTGCACACACATTAAAACACACACACACACACACACACACACAAACACACACACACACACACACCCACACACACATACACTCACTTACTCTCACAGAGTTCATTTTCCAAAATTGTCCCTCCTGCCTGCACTCTTTTTCAGTGCTCCAGGTCTTGTGGCACAGGCATCCAAAAGAGAGAGCTTCGCTGCGGGGAGAGAGACTCGCAGGGAGGGTACGTTTCTTCAACTGCACACCAAGACGTCCCTCACACTTTAAAAGATCTGCACAGATACTTAAAACCCCACTGTGTCATCTGTGTACTATGTCCTCTGAATCAGAATTTCAGATCTGTTTTCAAAATTGGAAGCCCTGTAGGAAAAATCATTTTGAGCAGACAACCTGTCCTCTCCCGCGCAGGTATGTGGAGTTCCCCACACGGAGGTGCAGGAATATGGCCAAACCTTTGGTGGATCTCCAGCAGGGCTGCAACCGAGGTCCGTGCCCAGAGCTCCCTCGGGTCGTCGCTGGCAGAACAACCTCCAACGCTGTGGTCTTAGGCTGGTACTCCTCTCCCTGGCAGCAGGTACATTTGCTCACGCTATGATCCAAAAACTGTCTACATGACAGACTGACATGTGTTGTCCAGCTGAAAGTCTTCCAGTTTGGAGCTTTTCTCCCACGTGTGACACACTATGATGACATGTGTGATGTGTTCAAATTACACAGCCAAAAGCTGCAAAGAGTCTTTCTTTTTACTTGGATATTTGATAGAAAATTGGATCCCTTGGCCTTGTGATGACTGGATGCTGAGAGAGTTTGTGATTGTAGCCATGATGACACTTAAGTTACCTGGACAAGAGACAGGAAGTATAAAAGCTGATTTTATTCTTGATGGCAAAAGTCTTTCAAAACAAAGAAAGGTAGATGTAATGTGATGTATGTGTATATTTTCTTTCTTAGTTCATGTAGGTACTCTGACAAAAAAAATTTTAATTCAAATTTAACTTTGCTAAACTCTGTCCCCTAACAGCAACTGTCCAATCGTAGCTTAATAACTAGGCCTGGCAGACTGGTCAAGCTTTGGATTTCTCTACATGCTGTAGCACTGTGCATGGGGCTGTAGGAAGAACAATATTCAGCATTCAAAGAGTTTGAGATCGAATGGTTTTTTTTAAGCCGTTCAAAAAGTTTTTTTTTTTTCAGGCTGACTGACAGCTTTCAGCTTGGGACATGACTTAGAGCTGTGACTGCTTTGTTGTGACATCACAAAGTAACAGAAGTCCTGACGACCTGTTTTAAGGCTCAGTTTCTGAGTACAGGCTGTGTGCATTTCTCTGTGGACTGAGCGCTTTGATACTTTCACAGTATTAATATAGAACCTACACCTGCTTTATAATCAAACAACGCATTGAAATCTACCTTTATACTATATGGAACCTTTATAGTTGTGCAAAGTTCTTCAAAATTAGCTACTAGCTGCTAGTCATCCCACTTTGTGAACAGCTGCTTCTAACCCAACAAATCTCCCGAAAAAGGGCTCCTCAGGTTCACAGCATTTATTTCCCAGCCCTCCATCTCTCACTTCATTGATTTTTGTTTACCAGGCCTTCTTCTCTGGGAGGCCCTGGAATAAAGAAGGCAGCCCAATGTCTGGGCCAGATCTCTGATCAATACAGGACATATGACCACGAGTAGCTCCTCTGTTTCCCTATAAACCTCAAATGCAGACTGTAGAGTGTAGGTGGTGCTAGTTCACAGACTTCGCCTAGTTCTTACCATCAGTGGCTGGCTATGTGGAAGGGGCCTCAGATGTTATCCAAAAGCTCCATTCTGTTACAGAGCCTTTCGGGGCAGGTTGTGTAGTTTATGTGTTATATCATCTATTATGCAAAAAGTCTTAAGGGCAACCTCATACAGCGCAGAGTCTTATTCTGCTTGATCTAGAGCTTGTGATCCCAGTATGTTTCCACCAGAGAAGATATATACTGACAGCTCGCTGGAGGGCGAGTACATGCTGGATGGGATGTTTGTTTTCTTCATCTGTTCTTGGTCTCTGTATGGACTTTTCCTCCATCCGTTCCCTTGCCTCCTCTGCTCTTTTTATGACAACTCTTTTCTCTCCATGCGCTGCAGTGTTTGATCTCCTTCTCCTATTTATATCCCTGCGCTCCTTCTCATTTCTCCTCGTCTCATTCTGCCGTTCCTTTTGTTTTTGTCTTTCTGCTGTTCCTCTCCCGACTCTGTCTCAGTGCTCTGTATCCTGTGGCGGAGGGGTTCAAACTCGGTCCATCCAGTGTCTGCGGCAAGGTCGTCCCGCAGCTGGCTGCCTGCCCCACCAGAGGCCTGTCACTTCTAGGGCGTGCAACACACACTTCTGCCCCGCCGCTCCCCCGGCTCCGGCACAACGCCCTGGCCGCGTCACAGCTGCTGGACTGACACCAAAAGGTAAATTCCTCAGGCAGACAAAGACAAATTCATGAAGTCAAATTTACTTGAAAGTACAGCGCTTGGTGGAGTTGGCATTCCCTCTCTTTAGGAGGTGTTTTGTTTCTCTTCATGAATTCTTCCCATTTTCCAAAGACAACTCAAGCCCATTGGTTGTCCAAGTAAATGACAGAAAATGAATGAATTTGTGTGATTTAGTGATTTATCTTTATGATCATGATTATATCATATATCATGATTTTTCATTAGTTTTTATTTTTGTTTTGACTTTTTGGTTTCAATTTCAGTGTAGTTTTAATCAGTTTTTAAGGCAATTTTTATTTTTTGAAAACGCTTACTTTTAGTTTAGTTTCTATTGGTTTCAGTGTTAGTTTTTTTGTAATGAGGGGGGTTTGTCAGGGGGGGGATTCACAAAGGTCACCAAAAGTATTATGTAATAAAAACTCAACAAAACATCACACCATCTTAAAAATATGTTCACTTAGGACAGATGACCATTTACCAAAACAAGACTATAGAAGACTATAGACTATAGACTATAGACTATAGAAGATGTGTGTTAGTCAGTGTGTTTGTGTCATTAACCACAAAAATTCAACGGGACACTACTTGAGATCATTAATACAGTGAATCTTTTGGACACTTAAAGTGCACATGTACTGGTCTGAGAGCCAGATAATTCTCCATCTGGCACAACAAGAAAATTGGTAGATAGATTCATATCCACCCAAAACACTCTGCTTTTGTGTAAGATTATTGACCAAGACAAAAACTAACAACATTTTCTCTAAAATTTTAGTTTATTTTAGTTAGCTTTGTAAACACACAATACAGTTTTAGTTAGTAATAGTTTCTTTTTATAAAGCCTCGTTTTTATTTTTATTTCAGTTAACAAAAATGTTTTTTCTAGTTTTTGTTATTTCATTACTTTTAGTTAACTATGATAACCTTGTTATCATAGACAGTGTTAAACATCCTTTAGTTCCAGCTTCTCAAATGTTAGCCGTTGCTACTTTTCTCTGCTCTCTCTTCGCTATAAAATGAAGCTCTCTGGGCGGCTAAACTCATTTGTCAGAATGTACAGTCAATATGTAGATGTCAGTGTGGGTTGTGGGAAATTGCGATGACCACTTCTAACTACTTTCTGACACTTGTTTTGGCTCAACAATCAAATGACCGATCAAAAAATGAATAAATAAAAGGTCCACTAAACAAAACAAAAAAATAGCTGCTAAGTGAATGTTCCTGTTCTCTCTCTGCAGATGAACACTGTGTGGATCATTTCAGCTGGTGCCACTTGGTCCCCCAGCACGGCGTCTGTAACCACAAGTTCTATGGACAGCAGTGCTGCAAGTCCTGCTCCAGCAAGAGGCCGTAGAGCTATGACACATCAGAGTCTGTGGCTTCAGGCCTCTGAAGGAGACAAGGAGACGGGGGGTGGGGGGGGGGGGATTACTCACAGAACTGTGCTCAACAATTTGTGTTTTCTTCCTGGAGTACTTGACTAATGAATTTTGAAGAGAAGTAAAAACGAGAAACCGTGGACTCTTTTTTTTTTTCCTTAAAGAAGGCAAATGTGGCTGCTAACGCTCATCTGCCAAAGCGGTGTCATCAAGACACTGACATCATTGAAAGTGGAAAGACAGAGCATCTGAAGACTCGTTGATGTAATATATACGTTGTCATTTTGTGGAGCATTTTCTTTTTGAAACCTCTGAAACTACAAGCCATCAAGAGAACAGGAAAGGACAATAGCATTTTCAGCTTGCTTATACTGTATGTTGTATATTAAAGGCGTCTGGTTTCACACGCCTTTGTTTAAATTATTATGGTTCGTAATATATAATTTACATTTTGTCAGGTGTACAGTGGATCTGTGACATGTTATTTCTGTGTTTGGATATACCATAGGACTGCGCCAGTCACCCTTGAATCCACGTTATGAGATTTTATGAGGCATTAGTAATCTGTGGTCAGAGTTTCTTCTTCTTCTCCTCCGCTTGTCTTGTTTGCTGCTGCTCAGTCAACGACACATTCTTCCTGTGCATTCCATTCATGTAAACACTATGAACACATGCCTCTGTGTACCTAAAACATTTTATTCAGTCACGCTGTTAAGTGGTCATTTTTATCTCTCCTGTATCGTATCGGTAATACAACTTGATGATCTGTTTGCCTTTCTTTTCTTCTCTCCATTCTTTCTAATACCCGACTCACAAAACAAAAAATGTCTCAAAAGCTTCACTTGACTCAGACACTATCGTTTGCACACTGATCATAAAAAACAAATCCACCCCAGATAGGGTATATGTGCTGGCCCAACATATGCCTGGGTCTTTGGCCCAAGTCTGGCCCATACACCTTCACATCTGGGCAGATAGCTGTTATGCTGCGGTATTGACTGACAGCTGGAAGAATTTCTGTATGTATGCCAGAATTGGTCCAGATGTGGAACCCTAACCCTAACCCTGACAATCATGCTGTATATGGGCCGGATTCGGGCTGCAGAACCGGGCACATACTGGGTCAGAAGAAAACAAGCATGTGGCCCAAGTATGGGGCAGATTTATTCTGCTACTTGGTCTACATCCATAAGCATGAGCTCTCTTTGAACCATGGCAGTCTAGATGTCTTTTGTAGGTCAAAATAACATAATTGAAATCATTTAGATGACTATGTTGAAACTTAGAAACAACAGTTTTTAAAATATATGTCTACAAAATTCTCATTCACATCTAATCCAGTTCTAATCTTGACATATAGATTTTTTTGTGAAACACATGAAGACAGTGCTCTCTGGGCTCTATCAGTTCATTCAACCTATTTATACAGGATGAAAAGTGCTATAAAAAGAAATGTAGTTTGGTTGAGTTGAGCTGTGATTCCCTGAAAGATTCCAAATGAAATGTCACATCAGAGTAAAAATGGTTATATTTGTTTCACAGAACCTGAAATAAGTAACACAAAGCTTACACAAATAAAATTTATGAATGTGTTCTATATGAAATGACAAGACAAATGTCTCTGGGGCTGAAGTGAAATTCACTTTTTGTCTGTCATATACAAAATAATTCTTTCACATCATCTGGCAACTGGAGCCGCCTATTATTTTGCACCTTTATTACCAACCATCTGTACAGTCACAGCACAGATACAAATCAGCTCTAGAGAGAAACATACTCTATCTGCACTGCATACCATTTGTTTGGAGGCTTCTTTTACTATTTCGCTAATTATCGTCAAAACTACACCAAATCTGTCTTTTTTTAATTTCAGAAATTCAAAAAATGTGCCAGGTAATGTAAAAATACAAAAAACATTTGTGAACCAATTATTAAGTACTGTAATATGATATACCGTCTTTAACATCTTTTTTATCTACAGTTTCTCCCCTGTTTGAGCACTTTTACTAGCATTTCAGTGTATTGATAAGTTAAGCTCTCATAAACCCACTGTAGACTGTCTGTCTGTACTCTGTCTCCTTTTAGCTCTATGTTGGTCTCCACCAGCTCCTGACAAATAGATCTTTAATTTACTATTGCTCTACTAGTTAACTAGTCTGCCATATAGTACAGTGTAGGTGAGGTTGTTTTTTTAGAGGCTTTTTTTTCCTGCTGTGGCCGAGAACGCTGATCAGAGCAGTGGGTGTCTATCAAAATATTAAAGTTGCCATTAAAACCAAAAAAACAAAAAGTTTAAAGACGCTAAAACACCGAAGAGCTGAGACCAAGAAAGAATATATCCCAATATATCCCACAAAAAAATATACATTAATTTAGTCCATTTTTATCATAGAAATACTGATAGAGCAGCATTAATGTTTTATTGTTTGCTAAACTGTTTCACCCTCTGCATGAACACTGATTATTCTGCCCAGTTAGATACTCAGTGGCCACTATCTGTCTGGCCACTCAGTGGGAATCTTCCTGCACTATCATTGGCCTCTTTGGCAACTTTAGACATTTTAGAACTTTTTGCCCCCTCAAAACTTTCAGAACTTGAACCATGCTGAGACTTATGTTACTAAACAGTGTTTTTCTTGCGGTGATTATGCCACCCTTTCTCGCACTGCGGGGGCTGCGATTGCTCTTTAATCAACCCGTCTGCATGAATCATGAAGCCTGGAGTCCCCACATCATCTCGGCTGCATGCTGTTTACCAGCATGCTGTGAGCCAGACACCACAAGCTGGGGCCCACTCACACACACACACACACACACACACACACACACACACACACACACACACACACACACACACACACACTCACATAAATATATCGACTCAGCTAACATACACACCTACTGTATAATGTGTCCATGGAGCACAGGGCTAGGTGTGAAAGTGTGTATTTACTGTGCTTGAATTTGTGTGGGTGAGCGCATGCTTGTGCAAATTGTGCGTGCATGCATGTTTTGCACGCCTTCATGCAGTACGCTGGTTGTGTGTGTGTGTGTGTGTGTGTGTGTGTGTGTGTGTGTGTGTGTGTGTCTTAAAGGGAGAGAGGGAGAGTGTTTGTACACTACATATGTATGTCCCAACAACCCGGCTTATGATGTCTAACTCTCAGTGGGACAGCAATTTGACTGCTGAGCTGATGTGAGAATTTCTATTTCTCCAGCATCCTGCTTTCAGTTCCAGATGGGACTCAATTTCCCCAGTCAATATTGGTTCATAATAACATATCTTGATTATTTTAGCATGGGGAGCCACATCAACCCTAAGCATTACTGCAGCAGAGACATAAAGAGACCAAGACCCGAATAAAGAGACAGAAAATCAGGGATATTTTTATTTGGTATCCTCACTTGAATTTTGGATCTGTACCCACGTGGGTCATGAATCTCAACACATTTTTATGACCAACAGAATTGTGTCTGTAGCTTTGAGTTCTGAAAAGTGCCCCATAAGTTGGCATCAAACGCTTGGCATCAGATTTTTGTTCACTTATTCTTTGAGAAGATGATCCCTCCTCTAAAATCATTTTGTTAATTTTAGATTTTATTATTATTACTATTATCGTCATTATTAATTTTATTTTTTATAGCTGCTGATGCACTCACTGATGAAAGTGGGATGTATGGCTTAACGCAGCGCTACCTGTGTTGAGACTTTGCATGGCTTGACGGCTTTTTATGGTAACATTAGCAATGCAGTGTGTGTGTGTGTGTGTGTGTGTGTGTGTGTGTGTGTGTGTGTGTGTGTGTGTGTGTGTGTGTATGTCAACTGTTGGATGGATTACCAACCATGAAGTTGACATTTTTGGGTTTGAGTGAAATGTCTTGATAATGATCAGATGGATTGCCATGAAATATACCTGCTAACCACCAGAATACACTCCCTGTGAGCACGTTAGCATGCTGATGTTAGCATTTAGCCGTTAGCTCTGCTGTGCACCTTGGCCTCACAGAGCCGCTGGCATGGTTGTAGATTTTTTTGTCCCGTTTAAATTCCTGATTCATCACATCTGCTTTCGTGAGCGATGTAACAACCTTTTTCTTTGGACAAGAAACCTTGTCTGAAACAAAATAAGTGCACCAGTTCACTCTTTTTCCAAAGAGGGTACACAATGTGCACACTGAGCCAAAGTAGATGCCCTGGTTTGTCAACTCCGAAATAGGCCTGTCTTTCTTAATGCCTTCTCTAGCCAGGCTGATCGATGCAGGTATTTCTTCCCTGTTTTCAGCATGCTCTCGAGGTTCATCTTTTTTTTCCAGTTGGCAAAGCACCGTTGTCGGTCCAGCTGTAAGTCAGGGCCGGCTGTTATTTCCAGCTTCGACATTCCTCCACTAGCCAACTGTCAGGCAGCCCGGCTAAGACGGTCGTTTGTGTGCGCTTGGCGCGCAGTGAACCTTGATAGGCCCCTCACAACTGACAGTCAGCCTAATCACATCTTAACAGAGTTCCATCTTAGTGTGTGTGTGTGTGTGTGTGTGTGTGTAGACTGAGAGAAAGTGAGAGTGATCTCTCTATTTCTTGCAGGGCTTACGCCGAGGGCAGGCTTCAGAACAAGTGAGAGCTGTCATATTTCAACGCCACCTCTCCCATCAGTACCTCGGTATCAGGCAGAGTTCACTGAGCACATGCCCACACATACAAAAAGATAACAGACACACATTGCCCCTTTCTTTCTTTTTTCCCCTGGCTTTCTCTCACCCCTCTCTCTCTCTCTCTCTCTCTTTCACACACGCATTCTTGTCCTTTTGTGTCCCCTACTTACTTTGTGGCAACCCATCATTGAGCTAATGCATTCCTTAGCCCCTTACTCTAACCCTAACCATCACATCTGAATGCCTAACCTTTACCATAACAATAACCTCAACCTAATTCTAACCCAATAACTAAGTCTAAACCGTCACACAGACATTTATACTTTAT